AATAGAGTTACTGCTTCAGAGTGCAGTTCTGACTCCAAAAGTTTGCAAAGTATAACTAGTCAGAGTGAAGATATAAAACCTTCAATGATTTGTGAGGAGGAACCAAAATTGTCTACTTCTGTTATTAAAGAGTTTGAAAATGATGAAGTTGACGGTAAAGTGAATATTCGTGATAATGATCATGATACTTCACAGTTGTCTTTGGTTGATCATTATGAGATGAGGGATATGCCTACTACTGCTAGGTTAAATAAAGGTTCTGTACAACTACAACGTGAAGTAGAATTGAACGCAGATGCAGTTCCAAAAGGTGTGCATACTTGTGAGACAGTCAGTGTAATTGATCAGCGTGTAGCCCACCTATCATCAGATGATAGTGCTAAACCCGAACTAGTAGTGAAAGACAGCAGTGGTGGTAATCTTGCAGTTAGACAACTATCTGAAAGCCGAACAAGAACAGCTTCTGATCCACCGCTAAGTTCATCAACTGGTATCAATCAGTCTTCGTTGGTGTTGTCATCCACAACGAAACAGACGCCCATGAACTCAAGTATCTTGTGCGATGACTATGATAGTATTGGTGCATTTGAAAAGACGAAAGATATTGCTCAGTTTAGTGAGGATAAGCCAGGTGTAAACAAAAGAGTAATTGTTAAATTGACTTGCACGAATAAAGGCATTTCTAGTTTCAAGTTACTGTTTGAATGTTATTGTCTTTGGTGTAAATTACTCTGTTTCTATACTTGGTTGATGAGATATGTCGTGTGTTTGTTCGTCATCTATGTTCTACGATACAATGACATGAGCGTGTTACCGTTCAGATTTGAGGATATAGCTGATAGAAGGAAGTTAGCAAATGAACTCTGCGACGATTTTCCAACCTAGGGCGTCAACCTGGGAAGGGTTGTAGGCGTACTGGTGTAAGTCCTACAATTCTTCAAAGGGTAGCGCGTCAATGAGCAGTCCAATGTGGTTGGTGTGTGATTTTGTACATATGTTCATATTGCATATACTGAATTGATATCATGTCATCTAGCTGTTGGTAATCTTGTTTGTGTCCGGACATTCCACAACATACAATCGTCAACCTGTGAAGGGTTGCAGGCGTACTGGTGTAAGTCCTGCAATTCTTCAAAGGAATTCCATCAAGACATGATCCGCGAGCTTATTTGTACTGTTTGTGTATACGTGTGGTGTGTCATATCAATTGGTGTATTTTGGATTCATTGTGTTTACTCGTTGTTTTCGTAACTTGTTGTTATTGCGTAATTTTGTTAAAATTTTCGTCGTGATTACTTCTGAAGTTGTTTCGAGTCTTCTACATCCGTGAATGAATTGATTGATGTTAAAGACAGCAGATGGGTCGTATACGCCGGGGAGGCTATTGCTGAGAATGAAATGCACACGGAGATAATTGTTAGCTGCGGTCCGACACGCCGGGGAGCAAAAGTATAGACGACTGAGGCTTGCATACGTCACCGTTACTAGAATTGAGGCAGAATGAGTGACAAACGATTGCAGTGGTAATTGGTAGTGAGTAGATAAGACGATGTGCGACGAGTATCGTGAGGTGCTGCTATGGTCACGTTGCATTCTGCAAGAGTCATTCTAGCAAGTGGCGATTGTGTTGCAAGATGTCAAGAGGATACCTCTATCTGGAGGCGCAGGTCGTCATCGATGTGTGCGATTGTGCTGTGGGTATGCTTGTGGTGTGTTGGCTTTTCTGTTTGTTTTCCATTTCATCATTGTCCGTGTGACCCAGGTTCTCGCAATGGCATCCAAGTCAACGTGTATTGGTCGTGATGGAAAAAAGGGATGGATCCGTATTTTGCCGGGGAGTGTCAATGTAGTTGAAGATTGAACGATCAATTCATGGTTGTTTGCTGAAACCCAACTTCCCTATATTTTCTCGGTGACATCGATACACCAGTCATCGTCTCATCGGTCGCTGTTCAGAATGAAGTCAGTCCAAAACTCTCAGAAACCTTAGTTAAAGCTTAATTTTAAAGTTGACTATATATTGGTGTTACAATAAATAATTCTCGAGTAGCCAATCGGTGTTTTGGTTTTGCGTACGTTATTACTAAGCGTTTCTGAGAAACTTCAAGGAACAACGTGAGTCCCAGCGTAGCAAGAGCTGGGCATTGACGGTTTACGAGACGTTTCTGACAAATGCCTTAGAAATGTCAAAGTAAATGAGGAGTACTAGTTGCCGTCTGTCACGACTGCTGGTTACAAAATTGAAGAAGTTTAATCGACATGTTAAACATGATCTGGATTTCAGGAATCCATGTTGGTTCGGACTTATAATATTGCAGCTAAGCATATGTTTGATTAAGTTCGTCGGTGGCACAGTGGTTAGGACTCTCGCCCATCATGCACATGGTCCGATGTTCGATTCCCTGCCGACGCACACCTGATATCTATGGTCGACCTGCTAAATTTGGGCTACCGAAATCCATGCTGAAAATTCCATACTTGTACCAAAAATACGGTGTGGAATCAAGCTTTAATCAGAAAATAAATTAATAAGTTTAAGTAGTGTCTCCATAATTCTAGATTCTACATGTGTGATATTGATCGGCCGGTAGTTACTGACTTCAGTTTTCGAGCCAGATTTGTGTTTAGGCATAATGAATGTTGTCTTCCATATGTCAGGGTAAGTTTGAGTTTCTAGGGACATTGTGAATATTTTAAGCAGCAGTAGAGGAATGTCAGGGCCACCATATTTATAGAAGTAAGATGATATACCGTCGGTACCGAAACCTTTTGAACTTTTGAGGGTTCTTATAGTTTGGTTAATATTAGTGTGATTGAATTCAACAGTGCTAATTTGGTTTGGTGTGAGTGGAGATGGAGTTTGTGCCATATTAGTAATAGGGTGTATATCGAGTAGCTGGACTGAGGGCTTAAGGTAGTTACCTGCAAACGTTTTGTTGAATAGTTCACATATGTCTGCAGAGTTAGTGCATAGCCTACCTTTGTCTATGAGGAGAGAAATGCTGTGATTTTTGCGATTCATTCGCTTCCTTAAGATTTCTGTGAGTGCATACACTCTAGCAGGACTGGCTACTGCGATGCGTTCTTCCTTTCTCATACGGAAATCTCGAGCTTGTGAGATGGAGCTAAGGGTGTTAAGTATTAGACCTAGAGTGCCAAAGTCGTGGTGTTTGAAGTAACTTGTTGAGAGTCTCTTCAGTTTCGTACGATCCTTTGGTTTTATGAATGACTTTCTGTGTGGGGAAACCTTTAGTGTTTGGAGTGGAATGACAGCATCTAAGCATGTGTTTGAGTTATGGTAGAAGATGGTTAGGGCTCTCGATAGGTCATCAGTAGTGAAGTATTCATCCCATTCGGAGGATCTTAGCATTGATTCTACTAAGGCCCAGTTTGCCTTACTATAGTTCCTATATATTACTTGTTGTGAAGTGGAGGTATGAGATGCATTGCTACTCAGCGGAATTGGCAGTGCACACATCACTGTTTTGTGGTCGCTCCCTGGAAACTCAGAACCTACTAGCGTTGAAAGGGGGCTTATATTGTGGCAGAAGATTAAGTCTAGTACGTTATTACCTCTTGTGGGAGTAGTGACAGTTTGTTTCCAGCCAAGTATATCCAGTGTATCTAAGAACTTATCAAATTTAGTTGGGCCTGTGGGTATATCCCAGTTGATTTCAGGTAAGTTAAAGTCCCCACATAGGATCTTATGATCGTATTGTAAGTCGGATAATTGCTCCAGAGTATTAATAAGTTGGGTCTCGTAATTACTAAAGGTGCCAGGTGCTCTGTAGGTGCATCCAATTAATGCTGTTACGTTATTTAAGTGTACATTAACCCATAGAGTCTCAGGCATGTTAAGTGTACTACTTTCTAGCTGTGATACAGTAAGTGCATTCAGAAAGTACATGAGACAACCCCCTCCCTTACCACCTTCCCTGTCACACCGAAAGTGTGTGTAGTTATCTAAGCTTATTTCTTCATCCAGGATGTTCGAATGACACCAAGATTCAGTGATGACAATTACAGGGGGTTTGTATATTACTGTGAGTGCTCTGAGCATCGGCAATTTATTTAGAACAGATCTAGCATTTATGAGGATTAGGTAAAGATGAGAGTTGAAGTAGCATTTGAAGTATTTAAGTTCGTTAGTCAGCCCCGAATATGGTTCAGCACCCAGTAGTTCTGCTTGACATGACGATCCTATGTTAAGAGGAGTTTCAGCATCATGCTCACCTATGTCTATCGAGTTGGTGTGTGCTGTTTTCGGTGAAGAATTAGGAGTTGGAGTACTGGATTTGCTATAGACTAAGGAATTTTTATTTTTAGTTAGGTTACAGAAGTGGGTAGGGTTCTTTATTTGACCTATACTTGTGCAAGTGTCAAGTGTGCCTAATGGATACGGGTGCACTAGACCGTTCCTGTTTTCATGCAAGGAGGGAGCCAGCACTAGTGGTTTAGGAGTGTTAACATCCCAGCCGCTGTTTTTTCAGCGCGGACTAACATGAGTGAAAATACCCTTCAAGTGTCATATTGATTCAATGATCCTGGACATGCGAGATAATTTCATCATTAAGCTAGCAGCAAACAAGGTTGTTACCAAGATGCTGAAAGTGTTTGGATATTGAAACTGTTCTCCATCACAAGTAGTGATTAAGCGCTCAAATCTTCCCACTATAATCGTGAAACATCTAGGAGGTCATCATGTAAACTTCAGCCGCGGTCGAATAAACTGCTAGTGGAAATCAGATTCACATACAGTGTGTTCAATGACTATAAGTGCCTACCTGAAGTATTAGTGTCAACTTATTCGAAAAAAGTCGATCTGCGAAGAGCTATGTAGTCGGGCTATCAGGTCGACTATTCTTTATCACTCGGATGTAAATACTAAGTATTGAGAAGATTTGAGGAAATTATATGCGATATTGTGATTAATGCTGAAAATTCCATTATGTATCACAAGTACTGTTTTGGGAATAAAGTAAATCATTATTATTATTTTGGCGCAAGAGCCAATGAATGCGCTACATCAGGTGCTCAGGCTAACTCGTGCACATGTCTCCCTTTGTAGAGGTTACCACCCTCAAAAGAATATCGGCGACTATATAAAGGAGGGTTACTTTTCAGAAATACTCCCAAACAAGAGGTAACAAGATGAAAAATGCTTGAACAAAGTATCTTAAGCGAGAAACATCTGTCGGAATTAGAGGCAACTAAGAATTTCTCAGTGTATGCGGGTTTTGACCCCACAAGTGACAGTCTACAATTGGGAAATCTTGTTGCCGTATGCGGTTTGCTTCGATGCCACCTCTCTGGCAGTGATACCATTGCACTTGTACGTATCACTTATACATAATGTTTGTATTTTCTTGAGATCGGAGGATGTACGGCTGTTTAGGAGACCCAAGTGGTAGAACTAACAAGCGTTTTCAGCAATCTGTAGATCAATATGCGTACAATTGTGATCAAATTGAGCAAAATTTAAGTCAAATTTTGAGTAATTACTGGTCGAATATTGTTCCGCGTATCTCTGTGTCACGAAAGCTACAGTCGATTCGTATTTTGAACAATACTGAGTGGTTGTCCGATCTGAAGATGATGGATGTTTCCCGTCAATTTCTGCCGTACTTTAAATTGTCAGAATTACTTCAGAAAGAGAGGTTAGTTTGCACTTCTGTATTTAGAAACGGTCATGGTAAACTATAGCAACCATCCCTTTCTAGCCTACCACTCACCTCAAATGGCTAATCGAAATTAGGGAGCAGTAGGCCCCACACTTGTTAAAAAGACGACTGTGTATCAGGGTATTTTTGATCTGTTTACACTTTTCTTCTTCAACCAATCCCACAATCTCAATCCTCTCAAAAGGCCACCTGTCCTAATAAACTTCCCCAGCATTTGCATGTTTTTGTAACTCCAACTAATCCACAATTCACACGGTAATCAGACATTTGGTATTCCTGAAACTTGCTAGGAAAATTAAGAACAGAAAGCCTAATTTGGTCGTACAACCTGTGACTCAAATTGTTCGTCACTCATGTATCGGGTTGTCTGTTGTAATATTATTTTGCCTTTGGAACTACCTTTCTTGACTATCTACCTTTTTTAGAAATAATTAATTTGCCATAGCCGTTATGCATTGATGTGAACAGAATTCATGCACAGAGTTTGGCTTTACATTATGAATATTTTCAAGTATTCAGTGTGATTGTTTTTGGCTTTCCGACTGATTATATTTGTAACACTACTACACACTTCGGTTCGACTGACATTTGAAAAAAAGTAGAAATCAATTTATTCCGCCTTATCGTTGACCCATTTGTGAGTTATCTTTATTTCGCTACATTATATCTACTGAATTCTTTCTGACTACCTCTACGAATTGGATTAGTTTTGTGTATGTACTAATTCTAGTTCTCTGGTAATTTTTCTTGTCAGCAAAGTGAGCTGTTTTCTCCATATTTTACCACCTTTATGTTTCTTAGTTTCTTTTATTTCCCCTGTTTTACTGAGCTGATAATTTTTCCCTGGGAATGCCCCATAACTGAAAGTTTCTAATTATTTGGCTATAGCGTAGTTCAAGTATAGCTTGTGTATTTCGGTGTTGTGCTTCCAAGGCTTTTTTGTGTAGGGATTGATCACATTATTGCGACTGATAATGCAATTATCGTATCAAATTTGTGTAGGTTATTGTATTATGCATTTCTATGAGTTTTTGTTGTTATTATTCAGTGAGTAGCCAGTTGTCTTGCCAAAAAGGCTAGTAGTATTTAATAGTTATGGTTGGCCGTAGCTTGTGAATGACAGTATAAATATGGGTACTAAGAATGTTGTTATCACCTCCTCCGGATTTCGATTGCTTTAATGAGAGCTGATAGGCAATACTACATTCTACTTACATATAATTACACTTAAGATATGGCATGCGGGCTTGAAGAAACTGTACATTCTTGGAAGAAATCAAAGGATATATACGAAGTTAATGCCACAACTCTCACGTTTTCATGTTAAAGGCGGTTGTATTAGTTAAGCTTTTTCCTATTACCATGTCATAAGAGAAGGGATTATTTTATTCTGACATATATGTTAAGTGATGATTCGGTTGCTAGTCTCCTTTTACTTCCAGGAATAAGTGATTTCAAATGCTGCAATTCATTGGACTGCATTAAACGCACATCCTTTTATTAATGTGGTCAACAAATGGAACGCGTTACCTCAATCAGAGGTAACAGCTCCCCAGATAAGTATTTTCAAGGAGAAACTAAATATTTGTTGCTATCCCTACCAAAGGTATTAACTCTTTTTTCCTGACTGATGACCTGTAACACTGAAAATGCGAATGTGTCAAGTCATAAATTTACAATATTTAGCTTCATTTCTATCTCATCGATTAACGGACTAAAAATCTAAGTGAATTCCATGCCACTGGTAATGAAACTCGATAACGCTTTGTTGCGCATCACCAGAAATTATAATTTCACTTGCAAATTAACTGCCGGAGACTTTAAATAAGTGTAACAAATTATACGTTTCTGCTCTTCGTTAATGTACGGCTTACAAATAGTCACTCGCAACTTGTAACTACAATGGATATTACACCGGAAGATTGTCTGTTGAAAATGTTTCGAAGATAATAAGTTAGCCAAAGGAGTATTTACTTTTTAATAGACCTTCATCAGAGTATATATATATATATATATATATATATATATATATATATAATGTATTTATTTATATATGAGAATTTACTAATCTAGTGGTGACAAGTTTCTTGGCAACACTAGCATGTCAATGGTGTGATAATTAACCAAAGAGTTAGTATGTTTAGATCTAAAAAGGTGTTTTCTAGAATCGCAGTTTCGTGGTGACATAATTGGTGAAACAGTTACTACCTTCAAAGGATATCGTAAAAATGAGCATTCAGTGCCACAGAGTTATGGTAGCACTTCAAAACTAGAGCAAACTACGGATAAAGTACTTAACTTTTCCTCCTCCATGTATATCCATCAGTCCGACTGCTCCTATGTGGCTAGTTTTGTCAGGCATACAGTTAGCTATTTTAGTCGTCGAATTTTGGAACACCAACTTAATGAATAAGTGAGGGGCAAACAAAGTTTATTTGTAGTTCTGTTTTAGCACACAATAAGTGTAGCCTGTCGCCAACTATGTGGAGTGACAATTGGTTTTTGAGTAATCTTTCATTTTTTAAACCATCAGAATCCACTTGAAGAACTTGAACTTTTATGTTTAGAAAAAAATCTATACGTTGCCTTTCCTTACCTTAATTATCTTTATAAGAATGTGAAAACTGGCAGTTTCCCCTAACATTCACATGTCATTAGTATTTTAACTATAATATTATTCTGATTACATCAACCTTAATCGTTCTTGTTTAATCAATTTGAGTAATTTGACCAACCATCTGTTCCTCTTATGGTCAGTGTATAAATTATGCATCATGCAACCATTTGTTTTAATCTTCACAAATATTTATGCCCTTAGTTGTTGCAATAATTGTATTGACTAGTTATTTTGGTGTTAACGAATCTTTAATGAGGATGTGTTAAAACGTAAATATTTCTTCTCACAATTTATAGTTTTCTAACTACCGAAATGAGGGTCCTCACTAGATTAGAAATGTATTCCACACATCACGTGGTGAAAGTTTCTTTTTATTTAGAAGTGATCAAATGATATTATTTGGTAGACCGGCTAAGATATGTTGTGGTTTCCTTCAAATGGCGTACTTTATTGCAGTTAGGCGATGATTTCTCCCTGTAACTTCAACTTTTCCCAGGAGAAAAACTAAGTAGTGGTAAAGAAAACTTGTAGATTAGCTAATGATTGATTATTTATTGTAGTTTATTACTAGTCAATATATATGTAAACAATAAAATTCAAAATATCAATCGATACTGCATGTTTGCTTACTGTCCAAGCATTAGAAAGCAAAAGCAAGAGCATTAAACTCATTAGAGACATGTTTTATTGTAAGGTATAATTGATTTTTAACAGCTGATTCGTGAGTTTGAATCCAAAAGCTCCAAATGAAGTTTAAACATTCAGGTAGTATCACCAGATCTTACACCAAAGGTGTACCCTTTGCCAAACGTATGTAATTGCAAGGGACTATTCAGTAATATTTCATGCAATGGTCAATAGTCTTTTATACCGCTCAACGCTAAGTTGTCTGTCTGTATTTTATGACAATTGTCAGTTGTTAAATGTATGTTTATATAAGACATTCTAAAAGTCAATCAACTAGGAAGTTAAAGATAAGTTACAGGATTTCACCATGAGCTGACATTGGTTAAAGAACCATTGGAAAACCTGCTGGCCAGCTGTTTCGTCGTGGTTTGTGACTCTTCATCAGTACGCAACCACCGGGGTTCGAACCCAGGACCTTCTGGTTACAAGACTAGCGAGCTCGTAGACCCAGGTAGGTAGTTACCCGGGGTTCTAGTGGAAAGTCGTGACCAGTAGGATGCAGCAGGTCGAATGTGAGGACAAATACTCGCCGAAGATATTGGCTAGCGGTTGCGCTATGTCGCGAATTGGTAGAAGTTAGAATTCGTGGGCCATTGGATCGGGTCCCAGTAGCCTAATGGTCTACGAGCTCGCGTTGTAACCAGAATGTCCTGGGTTCGAACTCTAGCGCTGGATGCGTACTGTTGAAGAGTCCCAAACTAGGACGAAACAGCTAGCCAGTACTCCCTGCAGGTTTTCTAATGGTTCTCTAACCAATGTCACCTCATGTTGAAATCCTGTAACCAATCAACCAAATCCCTACAAACCAATACTTGAGTTAAAGATAAATTCGACCTTTTGAGCTATGGTAACATTTGCTTTAACACTAGACCTACTGAGCAATGTAAATTGTATTAATAAGAAACATTTCAGCCGAGATATTCTTAATTAGGCTAATGTTGAGGTATAGGACGGAAGATATTATTTCCTTATGCATTACCCCAAACTGCCTATATTTCATCTTGTACTTCTCCGTTTTTAGTGGACAATGAAGTTTTTAATGGGATATTTTCAAGTGTTCCATACCGAATCATTTTCGCAGCCAAACTAATTTCGAAAGTTTACTGTCTTATGGTTAACTTATGCCTTCTTATCTTCCGTAGTAAGTGTTTTGAGACCGGTCTCATATTTCTGCCCAGTAAACTGTTTTTTTGCCATTAAAATAATTTGCTAGACCATGCTTTGTATGTGCACTACAAACTTTATTTACACTTCTCTTTACACCTTTCCTAGTGTTAAATTAAGGATGGAAGGCGAAAATACCATGGATCTTAGTGAATTTCTTTATCCTGTATTACAAGCGATAGACTTCCTACATTTACACAAAAACCACAATTGCTATATGCAGGTATAGATAAGTTATATCGAATAAACCTGACTATAGGTTGGTGGTCATGATCAAATTGGTAATATAAATTGTGGATTAAATCTTATTCATCGTATACTTGGTCAACATGTTTTTGGTAAGTTCAAGGCTCATGATTGATCATATCGGTATAGATAAAGTTTCTGCTATTACATTGCCTTATCTGTCTAATGTATATTTGTGAATAACGCTCTGAGTGTATTATTTCTATTTCTTCGACAAATTGGCTAAGTAAACATTTGGTTTCTGACTATCCAAATAATAAGCAGCTGGTCAGTTGTGACACTAAGCGTATTCAATAAAGCGTACATCCAAGGCATCAGTGTTTTTAAGCATGAAAAGGTGTACCACCTTCCTGGCACTATAATAATAAAAACTGTTACCAATAGCGATGATATGATGTTTTTAAGATAACCTTTTATTTCCATCTTTTGTAGTCATAGTAAGCTGCGTAAAGCTATAGATAACCGAGGATCAAATATACTGACCACCAAAGCCACCAGGTTATAATATTTAACTACAAAATAAGTTTCTGACTATATGTCATGTTGTGGTGAGAGCTGGCTGCAAGCCAAAAATTGTAGACAGCAATTTACATCAGCGTTACGTCCCGAGTCGGGGTTATGAGAAAAAACAATAACAAGGCTTGACGTTGAGGAACTCACCAACCAATCACAGCAAACTTAATGCGTGCGAACAGGATTCGCAGATATGGGGCTTAACTTTCTGAGAAACGATCACAAGCAGTACAGTATAACCTTCAGCAAGAAAACAGCCAATCAGAACACGTTGCTTCTCTGCTAACAATAACGCCAATAATAATGTACATAAAAATATATATATATATATAAAATATCTGTTGACTTTCTGAATAAACGATCCGTCGCCTGGCCCTTGTCTTCTGTCGTTGCAATACTAGTAAAATGTATCAACCATCGAAGTTTTCCTGGTACTCAATAAGTGGCTTGTTCTTGTAATTAAATTTAGTGAATGTGAATTGTGAGGTGACGTCCTAACGCTATATTTAGTTTCACCTATTCCGAAAAATCAGTAATTAAATTTGATAAAAAGCCATACTTTGTGGTGTGTGACCGACTATATTTTCCGATAGCTCAATGCTTTTCATTTCAAACCTAATAAGGAGTTAGATTTTACTAACATCTGTTGTAATCTGCATAATGTAACGTAGCTGCGATCTGCGAATGTTTGGCGTGCGATTCACTCCCGCCAAATGTAAGATGACACTACAGTACTGGACTACGTTGACTCATAGCATAGAAATAGGGAGTAAAGTCGTAGAGCGCATTGGTCACTTCACTTATTTGGGAAGTTGCATCAGCCGACGCCAGACAATTAATCGCTGACGAAATCTCAGAAGCGATACAGAAGGCTAGTTTCGCATATGCGTTTATGCCATCTCTGGCGTAGACGTGATATCCAGCTATCGGTCAAAGGGCGTGTGTACTGCTCATCAGTCCGCTCCGTCCTCCTCTATGGCTGTGAGACCTGGCCATTGAGAGTAGAGGACATGAAAAGATTAGCTGTCTTTGATCATAGGTGTCTGCGTTCTATCTCCCGTGTTAAGTGGTATGATGGGATGAACAATATTGAGGTTATGCATCGGTCGAGTACTAGGTAAGGAGGGGTTATCAGTCGACGAGACTGTGAAGTTCCATCGACTGAGATGGTTAGGACATGTGTTAAACATATGCCTAGACATCGCCTTCCTTGATGGGCAATGCTAGCTGACATAGGATTTATCAGGTTGGAAAAGAACTAGTGGTGGTCAAACCGAAGCATGGCTTCATCAGTCAATGAAATCCACAACAGTCAGTTTAAGCCAGCCAGCCAGCCATGTAGGGAGGTGTAGACTTCCTGACTGGTTGGGGTCCTCGGGATGGTAAAGACCAATGAAAGCTGGGGATATTTGGTGATATGGCTAAAATCGTTCTCAGTGGATGACACAGATGCATCCACTCCTTGTGACTTATAAAATCCAATAAAACTATATTGCTCCTTAATATTACTATTCTTTTTGTCCCATATCTCTGTTTACTGTCTCTATTTTGCGTTTCTTTTTACTGTCTTCTTCTCTGGCTTTGTTTGTTAGGTTGAAGTGTGGGAACTCGAACTGCTGCACATCTGTGCACAGTTTTACGTTGAAATTAGTCAGTCAGTCATGTGATCAACTAAATTACCCAGTGCCTTTCATTTCCAACTCAATTATAGCAGTTAGATTTTACCAACTTCACTTGTAATGTACATAGAGTAACATAATTTTTCAGTCAAGTATACCATAAACAAATAATGATTAAGCATCCAATTTTATCTTTTAGGCTTAACTGTCCCATTGCTAACTACTCCAGATGGTCAGAAATTAGGCAAATCTGTCTACAGTTCCACAAGTGGAACAACTACTATTTGGTTAATGAAAGACAAATTAAAACCGTACAGTTTTTATCAAAAGATCCTGAATTTACCAGATGCTGTCGTGACAGATAAACTAATCCGTCAGTTAACTTTTTTATCCTCTGATGAAATCGAACAACTGTTAGCTGATCACAAAGTAAGTTTTTTCTTTCCTTACACAACTTGTTCACTTTCGTTTTAAAGGTTCTAAATACTGTTGAATGTTAAGTCAGTTTAGCGTCAGTTTTTGTAAAATATAGACACTAAGAGATTGTCAACTATCAAATAAATGTCTGTTGGTTAGGAATGAGAAATTTCCATCGCATTTTCATTATTTATGCGCTATTAAATTTTGGGAAAGAGAATGGGAAATTTTAAGATTGTAATTTATGGTTAGACAGTGTATTGCTCAAGACCGAAATGTTAATTGGTGATCGATTATAATATAATGACTATCAGGTGACTGACTAAGTTTAGGAACTTAAAACTGTTAGGTTTGTGAAGTTAACCTACTAAAAAATGGGAACTCACTTTTTCTTCTTGTTGGTACCCGTTAGCATTATAGCTTTTTTTATTTCTTAGGCATTTTATATCCATATACTGAAGTTATTTATCACCTTTCTCGATGAAAATATACTACATTGACTGATGTACGTATCTGTTCGACTCATTTAATGAAGTCATTTTGAGGGAAACTTTTATTATGTTTCTCTTTCATACTGCTATAATGGGTTAGTCAAGATTATTAAGGCCTATTATTTGTCTTACTGTGTATAATACATTCCTATTTCTCAGAAAGAAAGCAGTACACCGTGTACAAAGGGAAGTCTTCCAGTTCATTGCCTACTGAAGGTGGTGTCCCTCAAGGCGCTGTCCTTTCTTCTTTTCTTTTTTCTTTCTTCTTGCATGACTTGCCTCACTCTGATGAAATAAACTTTGTGAAGTACGCTGATGATTTAACGGTTTCAGTGGCTGTTAACTCCCAGCTAGATTGTACCAAAATAAATAGCTTTCTGTCGGGAGTCAGTAAATGGTCTGAGTCTAACGGTCTTAAACTGAATCCTTCTAAATGTCAAACTGTTAATTTCAGCTTAAGATGTAAAAGACAGTTAAAAGAAGTCATCGATTCTCATGACAGTTGTAAGACAGACGACAGTGATATAGGAATTAAATCAGAAATTAAGTATCTTGGACTTATTCTCTCTTCTGATCTCTCCTGGTCTTCCCATGTCTTAGCAATCTCCAGTAAAATATTCCGCCTGACATTTTACATTAAGAAGTTAAGACACTCGGGTATAACTCAACCCCTCATCTTACAGTTCGTAAACTCTTGCATCCTACCTATTCTTATTTATTGTTCACCCTTGTTCTTTCCTAGTTTGCTTAAAAAAAGACTATGTCACAATTCGTAGAATGCTGAAGACTGTCAGTAGGGTGAGTGGTGTCCCAGTGGACCATATAGTTAACGTCGTTGTTGACAGTCACTCGACTTCGTGCAATAAATTTCCTAGAGGGATTTTGTTTGACTCGGAGCATCCACTTTACCCTCAGCTTTCACCTTGCATCTCCTCAGGTAGAACAAGGAGTAACTTCAGAAAACTGTATGCTCGTACGTCTAAGTATAAGAATTCTATGATACCATACTTGGCACGTATTTTATGTGATGAAAACAGTGTCAGGCAAGAATTAACTGACCTTTTTTCATCTAGTAAATAAATAATTTCCTCCATTCATCCTTATACACCTTCAAGTTTTGCTTTTATTATTTCTGTTATATTTATGGTCCTGTTGCTTCTTTGTTTTACTCTAATAATTACAAACACCAATTTATCTCTATGACAGCTGTAATCTTTGTTTTTCCCCTCACTATATCATGTAAAGAGAACATTATATTCAATATTTTTAAACATGTTAGGATTTCTATACCACATTGCCAATACTGTGTGAAACAAGCCCACGGCAATTTTCACTTGTATTCTTATTATTATTACCCTAGCTGTTATCATTATTATTGCTATTTCCACTTTATATGCTGCATGTTTTTGACACTACCTCCATTGGAAAATTTTTATTTATAATTTGAGGAAATTAGATGCAATATTGTGATTAATGCTGAAAATTCCATTCTGTATCACAAGTACTGTTTTTGGAATAAAGTAAATTATTATTATTATTATTATTATTATTATTATTATTATTATTATTATTATTATTATTATTATAAGTGTCGCCGAAGAGGAGTAGGAGTAAAAATTCAGCCACCTGTTTTTGACAGAATAGTCAACTTCTTTAATTTTTTTGGCAAACGAATTACTATGATCTCGCTGCCTTTAAATTTGCTTTCCATAATTATTCTCATCATTGGGTTATTTTTTCAATAGGCACAGCTTCATCGTCGTGTAGCGCAAAAAGTACTGGCTCAAGAACTCACTTTATTGGTTCACGGAGGTAAGTTCCTCAATATTCTCAATCAGTTAACTCATTGCGACCGATTGATTTTGGTTTAAACACTCATGAAGATATGTTATTCTTATGGCGTAAGTTTTGAGAAGAAACGATTGTGAATAAACGGTAATTGTTGACATAAGATTTCATTCTTCACTGATATCTGATATCACTGTAAGGAGGTCGGTCTTACACAGAGGAGCTGGGTAAAGTATGGTGGTTAAAACGACTTTCTGAAGGCCTGTTGGGATTAATTTGGTGGATGGTGACCAGCAATGAAGTTCAAAATGCACATTTCGTCCTGTTTGGGACTCGTCATCTGAACGTACCTGCATTCCCGATTGAGTGATGGTGTCCCCATCGGGGCTCAAACCCAATGCCCGCAGTTTCAAACTCGAAAACGCTATGCACAAAACCACCTGAGTCACGAGAGCCACCTCTTGTACAGCGGTTGTGAGTTATTATTTTTCAAATGAATTCTGATTTTTCCGTTGACTGATTGTAACAAAATGTTCAGCGTCTGACTTTAGGGATTATTGACATGATATTAACACTAATTTAAGGAGGTCGTAGTAGATCGTCTATCATCACACCTTATACGAAAGCTGAGATTTACCTCTGAAATAACCACAAGAAGATCGGCCTCAGTAACATAACGTCTAATGCTCGAGAACTGGTAATCCTTTGATATCTAACAGCTTACAAACGACAAACCGAGAAACTCCACTGGATTGTAGGTTTGAAAATCCATACTTTCAATCAGATCTCTGCCTTTTTGAAAATCTAGGACAGTCATACCGACTGAGATGGAGTTTTCATGTATTGCACAAGGCAACCTACCATTTATTTTGACTTACAATCTTAGCTGAAGTAACACCAGTCTAAGAGAAAGCCAAAGACGGCTGTAGTGCATGCCACTGGTTGTTAAATTTCCAGGTCGTCGGTGACGCAGATGTATGAGGGTACAGGGTGAGCTAATTAATTCTTTCCTGTGTTAGTAACAAGCAGTTACAACATCTCGGTTGCATAGAACTAGATTGGTTGCGATCTTTGAGACTTTTCTGATGTATTTTATCATTTTATTATCATCCTACTTCCATTTTTTCTTCATCTTCATGAATCATCTGAAATTGTGTCAACTTGAGCTATTGCATATCTCTGCAAATTTTTACATTGATCCAATTGTTAACACTGTATCACTGTGTGTTATATCAAGTAAAGGTTTTATCTTAGTGTAATAATCATAAGTATAGCATTTCATAACATTAAACTGACGAATCAACGTTTTACATATACCAAATTGACTTGGAACTCAGGATTTTCTACCAGTTATTCAGAACTTTTGTGTTACTTCTGTTGACTTGCTACCAGGGAATAATCTCGTTGACTTGGAATATGCAGACGATATAGTCCTTCTAGGCGAAGACGCTGGCAAAATGCAGAGTCTTCTAAACACCTTGAGCAGAAATCTACGAATGTTTGGCATGCGAGCGATTCGCTCCCGCCAAATGCAAGATGATGTTACAGGACTGGACTACATCGACGCCTAGTTTAAAAATAGGAAGTGAAGTGGTAGAGCACATTGACCGCTTCACTTATTTGGGAAGTACCATCAGCCCCAACGGTTGATCTCTGACGAAATCTCAGAACGAATACAGGGGGCTCGTTTCGCATTTGCCATTTTACGCCGACTCTGGCGTAGACGAGATGTTCGACTATCGACCAAAGGGCGGTTGTACTGCTCATCAGTCCTCTCCGTCCTCCTTTATGGTTGTGAGAGCTGGCCACTGAGAGTGGAAGACATGAAAAGATTAGCTGTCTTTGATCATAGGTGCCTGCGCTCTATTTCCCGTGTAAAGTGGCATAATAAGGTGAGCAACATTGAAGTTAGGCGTCGAGTTCTAGGTAAACAGGGGAAATCAATCGACGAAGTCGTGAAGTTACAAAGACTGAGATGGTTAGGACATGTGTTACGTATGCCAAGTCATCGCCTCCCTCGACGAGCAATGTTAACTGATATAGGGTCAGGCTGGAAAAGAGCTAGCGGCGGTCAAACCAAAACATGGCACCAGTCAATGAAATCTACAACAGTTAGTCTAAGCCACGTAGAAAGGTGTAGACATCCCTGGTTGGGGTCCTCGGGACGGTAAAAACCAATGAAGGCTGAAAACAATTCGTGATATGGCTAACTCAAAATCGTTCTCAATGGTGGAGATGCATCCACTCCTTGTGACTTATGATCCCCAATGAAACTGTTTTGTTCTTCGTTATTGCTCCTTTGTCTCACCCCTCTGCTCACTGTCTCTATTATGCTTTTCTTGTACTTTCCTCTCTTGCTTCGCGTGCTACACGGAGTGTGGCGACTTGAACTTCCGCACATTTGTGCAAAGTTCTATGTCGAAAACAGACAGACAGATTTCTGTTTTCATACTTCGAATTATTAAGCTAAACCCTCGACAAAATATTGATTGTTCTTTGCTCAAATGTGGTCTAGTTGCAAGTGTATTTGTTGATCGCTGACGAAATCTTAGCACGGATACAGAAGGCTAATTTCGCATATGCCAGTTTATGCTATCTCTGGCGTAGACGTGATATCCGGCTATCGACCAAAAGGCGAGTGTACTGCTTAGTAGTCCGATCTGTTTTCCTTTATTGCTGGCTGTGAGACATGACCATTGAAATTGAAAGACATGAAAAGGCCGGCTAGCTGTCTTGGATCATAGGTGTCTGCGTTCTATCTCCCGTGTTAAGTGGCATAATAAGGTGAGCAACATTGAGGTTAGGCTTTGGTCGAGTGCTAGGTGAAGAAGGAGGAGAGGAAATCAGTCGACGAGGTTGTAAAGTTATATCGACTGAGATGGTTAGGATATGGGTTACACATATGCCTAGACATCGCCTTCCTTGATGGGCAATGCTAGCTGACATAGGATTGATCAGGTTGGAGAAGAACTAGTGGTGGTCAAACCGAAGCATGGCTTCATCAGTCAATGAAATCCACAACAGTCAGTTTAAGCCAGCCAGCCAGCCATGTAGGGAGGTATAGACTTCCTGACTGGTTGGGGTCCTCGGGATGGTAAAGACCAATGAAAGCTGGGGATATTTGGTGATATGGCTAAAATCGTTCTCAGTGGATGACACAGATGCATCCACTCCTTGTGACTTATAATATCCAGTAAAACTATATTATTCTCCATATTACAATTCGTTTTGCCTCATATTTCTGTCTTGAATTTCTTTTTACTCTCTTCTTTTGCTTTATGTGCTGCATGGAGGTTGTGGCGACTAGAACTGCTGCACATCTGTGCAGATTTCTACATTATCTGTTAATTGTGCATTGTCTTTAGCCAGTGTTTGGTTTTCATGAAATTTAATATATATATATATATATATATATATATAATTTGCTTTCAAATTGATTGTCATGCGTACGATTTTTTTAGCTGAGGCTTTACAGGCTTCGGAACTTGCAACGCGAATATTTTTTCCAAAGAGTTCTGTCAATCAGACTAGCGGAAGTCAGTCGGACATTGGATCTAGCCTACAGATTATTCAAGATATACTTTGCAGTTCAGAACGTAACTATCTGATTTCATGCTTACAACCATCATCAAAATTATTGCCAGTTGTTTTCGCACAAAACTCTACTGATTACTTTAAACAATATGAAGGTGGTCCCAGTCAATTAGTAGATACATTTTTAGACTTAATTATGCTTACATCGAATTTTCAAGATCGATTTGAGGCGCTTCATTCATGTTGTACCAAGGGTGTTATGCTTAATGATATCAGTTTGATAAACAAGAATAACAACAATTCAGAAATATTACCTGAAAATATTAAAGTAGCATTTCAAAGATTTGATTCAAACACAGGCTTGGGTGTTTTACGACTGGGTAAGCAGTTCTTCTTATACCTCTGATTGAGTTCATTTCACTGAGCCATATATATATATATATATATACGGCTATCCACAGCTTTAACAGGTTGACTGCATTCGATCATAGATGTCTGCGACCTCTTTCTCATGTTAGATGGTTTAATAAGGTAAGTAATGTTGACGTTAGGCGTGGAGTGTTGGGCAAACAGGGAAAATCAATCGACGAGGCTATAAAGTTACATAGATTGAGATGGCTAGGTCACGTGGTGCGCATGCATAACCATCGCCTCCCCCGACGGACATTACTAGCTGATATAGGTGCTGGTTGGAAAAGAGCCAGTGGTGGCCAAACAAAAACATGGCCTCATCAGTCCATGAAATCCTTGACAGTTAAACTGAGTCGGTCAGGTAGGGAGATGCAGACTTCAGGGTTGGGGCCCTCGGGACTGACTCTAGGAATCAATGGCTGGAGACAATAGGTGACATGGCTCAAAATCGTTGTCAATAGCCAGCGCAGATGTATTCAGTCTCTGTAATCTTTCATATTCCTTTCTACCATTAGCCATTCTGTTTCACTCTTATACTTGTCAGACTGTATTGATTCTCTCACTCATCTTCTTGTCTACCTTTGTGTGCTATTTGGAACGTGGCAACTCGAACTGCTGCACTTCGGTGCCAAGTTCTACGTTGAATCCAGACAGACAGGGACAGACAGCTTTAACTGACGTAAGACAGAAAAATTGTGGAAGTACATCATTAATACCTTAGAAACTTTTGAAACCTAATCAAGTCGCAGTCTGTGTATTGCATCACCTCGTAAAAGTTGAACCATAAAGCCCCGTACTCCAAGATTGGCTAATACCAAACGAAACAATCAAGTATATTATAGAAAATATTCCATGTACAACAGGAAGTATCGCTGCCGTATAAAGAAGGAACGTCAGAGACCTTACGTGGAATTCCTCACGACTCTGTAATTGGGGTGGTATTTAAACCAACTAACCAACTCTCTCAGCGATAATTAGGAAAAATAATATAATTTACCAAATACCATGTAATGACTGTGAGGTCAATTACATAGGTCACACTAGTAGATCAGGGTCGAATAGATTATTGGAACATAGAAATTTAGCTGGACGTAGAATAATTGACCCTGCTAAGTTAAATAACCTAGAAAAAAGTCCAGCCACTGCATTGCATTCATTTGCATGTTATCACACAATAGGGTTGGGAATATTACAAAGTAATATAGTTAGGTGGAGAGAGAGAGAGGGGTTAATCACTGAAGCTTTGTTTATCGATTCAACACAGCATACGTGTAGTCGGAATGACGCAACGCCTGTACCAGAGATATGGAAGGTGACAACAAACAACAAAGGGAAGCTGAAAAGACAGAAAGAGAGACAGTATATATAAGATGAATTGTGAAAACGTGTGACCAAACTATGAGTGGCAATAATTTATGCTCAAAACGTCATCCAGTTGTTAAGGTTGCATCACTGTGTGATTATCAAAAATAAACTTATGTAATATGGGATTACATTCTACCACGGTGCCCAAGCTTTACGCTTACACTAAGAAAGTAACAAGCTCACATGAATTAAATCCAGTTTTCTGTAGGCAAATAGGTTGATAAGATTATGAACAATGAATTGTGTTCAAAACGTCATAATACTCTTTCACTGTCATGTAATGCAATACACAAAGCAATATAAAATAACTGAATAACTTAAAGATTCATTGCAAACTAAGGCTTGAGCATAATTTTCAAATGACAAAGTCACTATACTTTTTTTTATTCCTTCACGTTCCCAGTGGAACATTGGGCTTCAAGCTAGTGGCTTGAAGTTTCGGTAGAAATTGTCTTTATTTTAACGGGATGGAGTGGCTAGCCTCATGCCCAACCTTCCCTCTTTACTAGTCGTATTACTGGCTTACCGAGGTAAAGGAGTGCGTCGAGTGGGGCGTAGTTGGCGAGCATTCTACCGCTGTGCCACCTACCGCCATATTTTAGGAAGGCCTAAATAATAGACATAAATCCCTTTAGTTTTCGCGTCTGCTACGGAATATACCTTAAGCACTAACTGTTTGCATGTTTGCGCAATACAACGCTTGCTGAGATTTTACTCATTAGGGTTCTTTACTTCCATCATGAGTTGACATTGGTTAGAGAAACATTGAAAAACCTCGGAGTACTGGACAACCGTTTCGTCAGCCTAGTTTGGGACTCTGCATCAGTACACACCCACCGCCACAGTTCGAATCCAGGACCTTCTGGTTACAAGGTTAGCGAGCTTGTAGACCACTAAGCCACTGGAACCCGATCCAATGGTCCCAAACTAGAACGAAACAGCTGTCCAGTACTCTCAGTCGGTTTTCCAGTGGTTCTCTAACCGATGTCAGCTCATGATGAAATCCTGTAACCAATCAATCGAGATCCCTATAAAAACCAATACTTGAATATTCTTTACTTTGTTTAGGATGTGAAGCCGATTATATGATTCTCATCCTCAGTCAGATGCTATAACATTACTACGTGTATTACATGCATATATTAGACGTGTCTCTTACCTCTGAGATGTTGAACATCAATGTACTTGAGTTTTAAAAACATTAGTGTTTATCCAAGTTTTGTCAAAATATTGGAAATCCTATAATAGATATTTCAACTTACAATCATCTTTCTTTGTTCTTTTGATCTAGAAATAGGGTTGGGCAAGCCTGTTAAATAGGGTACACAGTGTTTCAGCATGGTTTTGCTTTTCGTTTTTATGTTTATAGGACCTGACATTTTCTAGGTCATAAATATTGGCACCTGTGTGTTTGATCGACGTACTATCTATTGTTTGTGTGTGTGCCAAAGCAACCATGTCAGTCATTTCGAAGTACTGGTTGTATTTTTGTCCTGCTAGAAATCATTATATAACACTTGTCTCAATTACTTGGACACATACTTCATTCTTTCTAGGAAATTGATGCTCACATGGAAATTTTATATTATTATTACATATTATCATTGTTCCCTTGGGTTCCTAGTGGAACATAGGGCTTCAACTACATGTCTCCACTTGCTTCTGTCTTTTTCTGTACTTTTCACCTGCATCCATGTTAGTCCATACTGTTTCAGCTCCTCTTTACACGATCTCCTCCATGTCACCCTTCCACTGACGCCCCACTCGCCGCTTCCCTTTCGGGTCCCACCCGATGGCCTGACGCACGATGTCACCAACCGGCCTCCTCAGCGAGTGTCCAATCCATCTCCACTTTCTCCTGCATATTTGTTGGTTGGCGATTGGTTCTTGTTTTGTTTGCTCCCATAGTTCCTTGTTGGTGATTCTTTCCGACCCGGCCATCTGATCTTCAGTATAGAGCGAAGACAGTTGTTAATAAAGGTCTGCAACCTGTTGGAAATATTCTTTGTGACCCGCCCGCCAAGTTTCTGATCCGTATAGAAGAACTGGCTTTTTTTATTTTAGTATTGAAAATCCGACTGGATTTTGTTGTTGACGTTCACTGAGTGACGAAGATTTCCAGATTGATTTCAGGTCGATGAATGTGTTTCTCGCCTTCCCGATTCTCGCTCGATTTGACATCCTCGTTCGTTCCTTTTTTCCTGTAGTCGAGACAATGCTCGCTAGATAAGTGAATGAAGTAACCTCTTTCAAATCCCTCCCATTGATGGTGATTGGCGCTGGATTTTTTTGTTGCTGTTGTTGTTGTTGGCTGGTTATTTTCATAACCTCCGTCTTGTCTATTTTCACTTGGAGTCCTGTCTTCGCCGGCTGCTTCTTCGACCAGTTTGTCGGTTTTCGCTTGTAAGTCTTCGATTTTGTGTGAGATCAAACATAAATCATCCACGCGCGAAATCCAGGTCTTCTAGGTTCTTCACGTCGGTCAGTCCAGGATATCCCTGTCTTCTCGTTCCCCACTGTCTGATGCATAATCCAGTTCACCACAATTTATGCTAACTAGGAGTTACAGTCCGATAACCATATGCATGACAATGCACGTAGTCTTGAATGACGTTTATTGTGTAAAGGCTAATGGTAACAACTTTGTTCCATTTGCTTGCATTCCGACTTCAGCATAGGGCCCCTAACTTTGAAGCTTCAGTAACTGTGGCGTTTTTTTCACGGGGAGAGGAGGGGAATTGAGTGCCTGACTCGCAACCTTCTTTTCCCGGTGTGTTACTGGTCAGTAAACCAGGTGAAGTTTAGGAGTGTATCCGCTGTAATTGGAACCCATACCTCCCACATGACTAGACAGCATTCTACTATTGTACTACCGAAGCACAAAGGATAAAGCCTATATCCTTAAATATCTAGATGGAACAGGGATGATAAAAGTCAAACGCCCACCGCTTAAATCGATTGTCTGCAACTCTATTCCAGAACTAGCTGGAAGAAATAAAAGTGGAATTTGCTTATGGTTTGCTTAAAAATAGATAGAGTTGTTATTGCTCAGGTGGTCACCAGACCTATTAGTGTGAGCTCTATGTACTATTACTATTACCACTAATAATATTAATAACAGTAATAATAACCTATAACTGAGCTGAATATTACGCACTCAATGATTCTATCACATACCACGATAAACAAATCATATCAAAAAGTGCATTTCTCAAGCATAGCACTTAGCACTCAGAAACGTAGAGTATTTGTTAGTACCTCGAAAAGCATCACTTATTAATGGATGCTTTTATATTCATATGTGTCACATGTTACTGCGCTAATAGATTCGACATGGTTATTGTTCAAGTAAACTGTTCATTATTCTTAACTGCCTCATTTCTCATAACCGAACTGAGCATTGATTGTTTGATGAGTGAAAAACTTATGATGTAATTTGATTATGACATCGTAGATCGTATATAATAATTATTCACTATTTTAAAAACTCAATTAAATGCTTTTTCATAGCCATATTTTTCTGCATTTTAACTCTATTTAATGTTTTTCAGGTAAACATGAACATTGGTTTATTGCAACCAAATCAAGTCTCATATGATAAAGAATATTTCAACTATGTATATTTGTAAATTAGTAAACTTGTACAGTAAATGACTTCGTACTGCAGTTTTTATTTTCTATTGACTGAAGAATATATGATAGTCTCCACGCGTTTTTACTTGTTCTTATGCTGACTTGCATTTCCCGTTGATCGATTATTTTAGACCGAAATGTTCAATGTCTGTTGATATGTCCTGTCTTAGTGAGACGATGGATGGATGGATGGGGGGGGGGGTTCGAACGTCATTAAAAACAAATTCTTTAAATGCAGAGATATGAGCATATCTTGCTGACGAGTCCCAAATTGGACAAAGTGCTCATCCTGAATTCCACTGCTGATCACAATCAACTAAAAAATAAACCTTCTGTGTCAGAGAATGCTAGTTTTAATCCCTTTGCTACCCAGATTTTCACTCTAACTTCAGTTTTCATTCGATCACCTGACGAAAACTAAGTCTGTCTCACATACCCTATCATTTAAAATTTTTGTGTATCACAGAATTTGTGTGTAAGTAAAATCCATTCGCAGTCTGTATAATTCTAATGGTTATATGTCAGATTTAAATTCATTTATCGCTGTATATGTAAATTAATGGGTAGATTTTGGAAGAATTATGAAAAATTGCTGAAGAGTTCATGTGTAATCACAATATTTGGTGGTCGCGCTAAATCATGAATTGGTAGAAATTGGAATTCACTGGCCATTGAATTGGGTCCTAGTGACTGAATGGTATACGAGCTTGCCTTGTAATTGGAAGGTCCTGGGTTCGAATCAGAGTGGATGTGTATTGCTGATGATTCCCAAACTAGGATGAAACAGCTATCCAGTACCCCTTGGTTTTCAATGGTTCTCTAACTGATATCAATCCCTGGTCAAGCTCGTAAGAACAAATCTAATCCTTACAAACCAATTCTTCACAATATTTAATAATAAAAATATTGCTTGCAATTATGACATTAAGTGAAGTAGATCTTTGCACATTTCGTTAGATTGTCTAATTCTCTAAGATTTCGAATATATATTGGTTTTTCTCCCACAGAGTCCCTTCTAACTCACAAGTATATTTGTTCTTTTACAATGAAATTTACCGACCAACAGTTAATACTGATTGTTCACTGAAGTTTTGATGTACTGTACATAACAGACGAATAAATCAATAAAAAAGCTGGATGATTTAGATATCCACGATTTTGACTGATCTATTAATTTACTAGGTAATTGGAGATATGTCGCAGTTGGTTAAAAATCGAACGTCGTGGTGACTATCGGGCGGTAACCACTGTAGTAGTTAAGGTGGCTTCGATGATAAGAAACAAAGACAATGCGATTTTCATGCGAAAGAAGAAGTGATGTGCATAGTTATAATAATTTGAAGCCGATTGGGGATAAAATGAAAAAGTATTTAAAAAAATATTAATGAAACTAGTAGTCACAACAAAGCTAAGAGGGAATTTAAGACGTTGTTGTAAGTTGTCTGTAAGTATGGTATGTGCTTTGCGCCGTCTAAATGCAAAGTACTGTTACAAGATTGACGGGAGCCTGTACCTGCACTCATTCTTGCGGGTGAACCGCTTGAAGTTGTTGATAAGTTTGTGTATCTGGGTAGTTGTGTCAGTGCTGGCGGAGAGGTGACGAATGAGATTTCCAACCGTATAATGAAGACTGGGGCGGCATACATCAACTTCAGCCACCTGTCGCCACGTTAGCCTGGCTGTCAAAGGTCGGGTATACAATGCTTCAGTGCGGGCTGTCTTGCTCTACGCCTGTGAAACCTGGCCTCTCCGAGCTGGGGATGTGCAGCAACTCTGCGTGTTCGATCATCGCTGTCTCCGCAGGATTGCTTGTGTTCAATGGCATCATCGCGTGAGTAATTCTGAGATTCGGCGGCCTGTGTCTGAACACAGTGGAGATCACCATTCATTGAGGGTCGTCATTAGGAAACACCGGCACCGGTGACTTCATCATGTGCTGCGAATGTCATCCCAGAGGATTCCGTACAGGTCTCTGTTCGCTAGCCCTGGGACGGATGGAAAAGGCGGAGGGTGGTCAGTCCATGACGTGGCGTCGTGGGATGAAGGATTTTTGTGCTAGATTAGCATCGGTTGGTGTGTCATGACTCCCTGGTTGGGGTCCAAGAGATAGCTCGAAACGTTATCGGATACGGCCAAGAATCTTAATCAATGGCGAACGTGTTGCAACTTTCTTCCGGTTGATAGTTAACGAATACTGTTTGAACTTGTCAAGTATGACTGTTTTCCTTCCAGATGAAGTTCTTTATCCGTTCTCTACTTATATATATATATATATAACTTTTGATCTATGTTGTTCTATTATTATTGTGTGGCACATCCTTCTTGGTGCCATATTGTACCAAGTTTTTTCTGCGTTTAAATAAATACGTAAGTAAGACGTTGTATCAAGATTGCACGTTTTAGACGCTGCATAGAATTCTTAATAGAGTGTGAACTATGATGTCATCCAAATCTACAAATTCTGCGGGCTAGATAATCTTATTGTCCCAATTAGACGGAATATTTTACAATGGCTGTGAGGTCAACTATGTAAGTCAATTTGTAACAACAGAAGACAAGGTCCAGGCAACAGATCGTTTTATTACGAAAATCAACACGTATGTATATAAATTTCACATATATTATTATAGCCTAGTCAAGTAGACAAACGCAGTCTTCTGATTGGTTGTTTTCGAGTTCCTCGGAAAGTGGAGCCATCTATCTGCGAATCATATTTGCCCACGTTTAAGTTTGCTGTGATTGGTTGTTGAATCAGCCTTGTTCATATTTTCTCACGGCCCATATTAGTGACCTAGACATTGACGTAGATTAATGTCAACCAATTGGCTAGCAGGCTGCTCTCACCACAAATTCAGTAGCTCGAAGTCAGTTGAGTTGTCGAAACATGGGAACTCAGCTAATTGTAGAGTGGTTGGCCCCAAAAATGACTAATTTAGAAAAAGCTCAGCTATCGCAATGAATGAATGCACTAGCACAAAAAGGGATAGGACAAAGTTACAGTTCTAAAAGGTGAAGGGAGAGATTAATAACTAAGTCCTTGTTCATGGCATGCACACCGGATAAGGGCTATAGAAATTGCGTTACACCATTACTGTAAATATGATCACCAATAAAACCAAAGCATGATAAATCACAGAACCATATAAACGAGATTTGAAAGTTTTGTGAATACCTGCCTTAAATACCAGTAAGTAAATAACACTGTAACAACAGAAGACAACGGCCAGGAAACAGATCGTTTATTAAAGAAATCAACACATATTTATAGATTTTCATGTACATATTACAGATTATTGTTGGCAGAAAAACACAGTCTTCTGATTGGTTGTTTCTCACAGAAAGTTAACCTTACATCTCTTTGTGGCTGTTTCTTGAATATCAGATCATCTATGTGTTAACTGTATTCGCCTACGCAAAGCCTCTATTCTAATTTTTCTCACGACCAATATTGGGTACATAAACATTGACGTAAATTACTGTCCACCAATTTCAACTAACAGCCAGCTCTCACCACAACATTATATCACTGTGTACTGTATCAAATAACATTATTCCTACTATGGAACCGTGAAGTCATTGATATATTTAAAACAGTTAATTAGAGCAAACATTTCATCAACTGTTCAGCATTAAAGTGATCCAACTTCTGATTTCTAAGCTCAGTTTAACATTAGGTTGCCCTTTTAGAAGAACGATTTCAGTTTGCTACAAGTGGACTGCAGAAGTGATCTTTTATTGAGCCTATTTTGCTATTTCTGAATAAAGTAGAGAGGATAGTACACGTTTCCGTATTTAGTAAAGGAATCGAATACATTGAAGATGTCAAGAGGTGTTCTTCAACGCATTTTCTGAATCATTGTTCCGTTTAGTTGTGTTACTAAAGTGGAACGAAATAAGGTCTTATTACTGATACCTTTTACTAGTATACATGAAATAACCTTACTAATTTAATATTAAAAAGACCAAAAGAAAACTGAAGAAGTCTTTTTCCAAGTTGATCGATATTTTTTTTTTGGTAATGATAAAAATATCATAGTCAATTCAAACTGTGCATTAAATGACGACTGATAATTGCAAGAATATTAATTTACAATAACATTCCTAGTAGTACAATCCCTATAATTTCTATTACAATAATCAGTAAAAGGATTATCATAAATAGAATGTGTAGCGATAAATATTTTTGAATGAGCTATAGATACAATGGACTTGTGTAAAGAAATAGTAAATGTTAAACATCCAAATTCATTAAGAGTGCAGTACTTCTTTTTGTCCAATGTTCTGGTGGTTTTTCACCGGTTTTCAGTTCAACTCCAATCATAAATGAAGGTTTATCTGTTGTACCAGCTCGATTTGGATAATAGTAACACGGAGCCACGTATATGTCTGAAAAAGTATAAAATGTTTCATTATGTGAACAGTAGCTGATATTAACTTTTGTGAATACGCACGTACAATACTGTTACAAAAGTGCGTCGGTGGCACAGCGGTTAGGACGCTCGCCGACCATGCACATGGTCCGGGGTTCGATCCCCGGCCACAGACGCACTCCTTTACCTCAATAAGCCAGAAATAAAAACGCTGGTAAAGAGGAAAAGGTTGGGTATGAGGCTAGCAACACCATCCTGTAAAAATAATCACCACTGCTACAGAAATTTCAAGCCACTAGCTTGGGGTCTATGTTCCACTGGGAACGTTAAGGAATAAAAAAACTGTTACAAAATGTCTTAAGAAGTATTCGCATTCATTCACCACCAAGTTGTTTTGTGATTTTTCTAAATCAAAAGGAAACTGTAAGTCATACCCCAAATATTCAACGTTATTTCATATACTTGTTCCTCTTTGTGAATTTGAGTGAAACAAAAACAAGTGTCTGTGTAGAATAAGATGGCGCCATCATTTATTTCGTTGGCTTCCCATCAACTGGAGTACATACCTGAAGGATTAATTAAGTTTATGTGCAGAGAAATCTTAACCTACCTGATAAGGTGATGTAATGTCAGTTAGCAAGCGACCCGAAATTAATAACATATAGACAGAAGCTTTAACTTTAAACAAATTAAATGTTTAATTGATTGATGGTAACTAGCAGTGGAATAGAGGATAAGCCGCATTTCGTCCTATTTATGACTCGTCACTGAATGCACCTGCATTCCTCAGTGGGACAGTGATGCTATTCTCACCGAGGCTCGAACCTAGTTCCCATAGTTTTAAACGCCAAAGCATTATCCACTTAGGCCACGACAGCCACCTCATGTGCAACGGGTCATATTAATTATTTAATTCTATTTTAGATTTTCCTGTCGATTGATTGAACCGAAGTGCTTAGTCTCGAATAGGACAAAGTGCGCATCCCGGATTTCACTGCTAGTCAACATCCGCTAATTAACCTCTAATTACATGCTCAGACATCGTCGAAGCATCTGCACAAGAAGCCGACACGTCAACCTGAGACCGAGCACTTTGGGAGAATTTAGAAAATTAAATGTTTGAATACAATGCGTAATAATATAGTTTTTTTGGTCTTTTTTCTGTTCCTCTGAATTGAGTTGAACTCACGACATTGTTACACAACAAACGAATTGCCTATCCACCTCTCCTCTTTATTACCTAACTCTTTCTCTATTGGAGCCAAACATTATTTTTGTTTTGTTTAAGCTTTGACCTATGCAGAAGTTATATAGGTGTAATTTTTGAACACTGTGTATTGGTTCTAGAGTCTTTTGTTAAATGATGTCATGTCACCTTTGCAAGTATGTTAAAGAATTTCTCTGCACAGAAGCTTAATAATTTTTTTTGGACTGTATGCAGTTTATGAGAAGCCGACGAAATAAATGATAGTACTATCTTGGTCTTTACAGGGAGTTACTTTTGATTTATTCAAATTTAACATTATGTTATGGAATTTTGTTGCCCTGGAGCAATTAAGAAAGGTTATTATCTCTCAGTTTGTAGGTGATTATAATTTGAGTTACTTATAGTTGGTAACTAATAGAAGTAGAATGACTGAATATAAGTCAAAATACAGATGTTTCATTGCTGTAATATCTGCTACTCGGGGTAATTGATGACAAATTATGTTTCAGAGCTTCCCCAGGTTATTTATTACATCACAAGTTTTAAATAAGTATTTGTTCAGACATCTATAAAACACAAAATAATTGAGCAAAGAATATTCTTTTCGGTAATTTCCTCTTCTGACTCTAGAATATTCTAGATTCTGAATGTCTGTGATCAATACTCCACTATGTATATACAAAACCTACATCTACGGGCAAGTACACTCATTTTTTTTCAGCTTCATGCCCTTGAAATACAAACGCAATCTGATAAAGTGCCTGGTTCACAGAGCAAGAGCAATCTCCTCGGATGAATGTCTTGATAAGGAACTTAATAATATTGAACGGTTGCTGAGTGAAAATGGTTATCCAGAAAAGTTTATTGGTAAGAATATGAATCTAAAATCAAAGCAGCCCAAGGTACCAACAGTTCCTAAAAAGGCCTTATTCTTACAAAGGCAGTTCCTTGGGGACAACACTAACGAGATGCTAACACAGCGCCTTAGAAATACGGTAAAAAGAGCATTCCCTGCTGCCGAATTACGCGGTGTCTTCAAAATCACTCCTCTTTTGCGTTCAAGAGTAAAAGATAAACTGCCTAATTCCGCCTCTTCCATGTGTATCTACCAATTTAACTGCTTCTGTGGAGCGAGTTACATGGGCCAAACAATTAGGCGTGTTTCTCTTCGGATTTCTGAACATCACCCTGCATGGTTAAGTAAAGGACAAACAAAATCCATTCATATGGCTATTCTATCATTGATGTTAACCAGGCTTTCAGGGTCATTTGCCGTATACCAACGAATCTTTATTTCTCCCTAAGAGTTCGATTACTAAATATTACTGAGGCTGCTGGGATCCACATTAAGAAGCTTAATTTGTGCGTCTAAAAGAAGCAAGTTCAGACATTATCACTACCTTGACCATCTAGGTTTGAATGATCCTCAGTTTTTTGTAGAAATTTCCTTATATTCTATTTGCTATTAAATCTTTATTATTATTATTATTTAAGCATCTTTATTGAACTGTAATTCCATTGATCTTACTTTACAAATCGATATTATTTAAAAAACACTAATATTGCTATTGACTACTAATCTAGAATATTCTATGTATATAAACAAATATACATAATTGTAGAGCCAGAAGAGGAATTTATCAAAAAGGATATTCTTTGCGCAATTATTTTGTGTTTTATAAGTATTTGTTGTCACTATCAAGTATATATTAAGTCCATCTTGTTTCTTAAATATGGGAAAAGTGTTTTAAGCGGATATAATCTTGAACTCCTAAAATAGTTTCATTTTTAGGGAAAAAAGCTTCAGATCAATTTGAAGAAGCATTTGAATTTTTTGTATTTTTTGAAGGTAAATATGAAGTCTTTTCCTTAGTATCTCGTCTGGTTGTCGTCTTCTTCAGATGATGAAATAAAATATAGCTATGCAAAACACTTAATAATCGTATTATGCCTTACGTGTGTTACAGCTCACAGTAAGGCAAATGAATTTCTGCGATTTTTTCATTTGACTGTGTTTCTTGAGCTGTTTGATTTAATTGCAAAGCTTTCGTCGTCCTTCTAGACAACATCTTCAACGCAAGCTTTATTTAATATGAAGTGAGTAGTATAACTATATCTCCTGACAATCTTTGTCGCGATTGGTTATTTTCTAGAAGGATGTCGAAAGCTTCACAATTAAATCGACCAAATCAGTGAACACAACCAAATAAAATTAATCCACCTGAGGTAAAACTTTTTATCGATTACTTCGGATCTCTGTATATTTTTATATATAGTTGGGTGTGAACATATTAGTGGGATCTGCTTCTTGTAACTTATGAAGTGAAAAATGAAAGCTTACTTTGATTGGACACTAGATAATAAGTGACAAATGTGTCGCGTCTAGTCCTTTGTTTGCTGCAGAATGAATTCCATCAGTCAAGTGTACAATGTGGCCGCCACACTAGGTGACACTCTACCACGATGCACTCTGAATTGTTGTTATTATTAGTTGGTTGAAGGCAATTGGCTAGGGACTCTGCCTTACCTAGGTTTCGTGCTTGTTGACACTAGTCAGCAAGGTGTATCTACAGTCTTGAAGGAATTCATGTCCCTTCTGATATCCTCCCTTCTATGTCAGATAGTGCTGCAGTCCGAGATGTTACCTACCACTGAGCTATTCACTCTCGCATCTGACCTCCTGCACGACTTCACTGAATATTTTGACTGGACACTAGGTAATTGGTAGTTCGTAGCATGCTCCTAGTTCTTTGTTTGGTGCAGACTGAATTCTATCAGTTCAGTTTGCCCACGTCCACATACACTGTAATTCTTTAACGCAAAAATCCCCAATCACGAAAGATATAATTTTCATGAAATAACAAGTTTTTGTAACTCTAAACTACAGCAGCCCAAAAGGAAATAATCTAATCGGACTAATGACCTTGACGAATTTATGTGCAGAAAGTGGTTTAACCTGACTATGAGGACTCCTATAATAAAGTAGGGGGTTTTCTTGGAACATATGCACGAATATTATCCTATATAACCATTTTTAAAATTGCATTACTTGTATATGTAGACGTTTATTTCAAATTACGCACTTCTACTTCTGACGCATCTGGTTAGTCGCTAGAGGTCCCTCCTACGTAGCTTCGCTTTGGGCAGCTATAGTTTAGAGTCACCCACTTTTTGAACAGTTTCGTATAAATTATGTAATAAACCAAAAGTTAGCATGTTTAATTCCATTATAGATAAGATTTTTTATTTTGATAAATCGCACAGTGTTTACAGTTATATGAACTGATGACGTTTCGAGCACAATTTATTGCTCATAATCATATCACCTTGATATGATTATGAGCAATAAATTGTGCTCGAAACGTCATCAGTTCATATAACTGTAAACACTGTGCGATTTATCAAAATAAAAAATCTTATCTATAATGGAATTATACTCTACCACAGTGCCCAAGTTTTATACTTATATCAATTAGCATGTTTACTTTTTTCTCATTCATCAGAAGAAAAAGTATAACCTATCAATGCTAGACTGTAGGAATTATTGCCTTCCTTAAAAACATTTATAAGATTTAGGATCCAAGTTTTGGATCTGTGACGTTAATGCACAAAATAAATCTTGACTCATTAAAGTTAAGCAATGAAAACACCTTATCTCACATCATTTCAATGTATTGGTTGTGTTTATTTAGGTAATCAATGATGCACATTTCACTGATAGTCAACATCACACATGGTCATGTATAGAACAACGAATCGCGTACTACGGTAATTCAACGACAATCAGTAAATTAAAATTTAGTTATTCTCTTTAAGATAAAGCAATAAGAAGACGTAATTTATCTGAATCGTGTAATGTTGCTATGGGAAGTCCGTTACGGCCCCTTTTAGCAGATATCTATGTCGTACATTAAGAGTTTATCGGAGGATTCAATCGAAAATGTGCCACTTCATAGAAGGTATGTAAATGATATGGTAATCATCAGTGATAAGCCTTGTTCTGCTACCTCAATTTTAATTTGAATGAATGAAGTTCAGAATAGCATATCACTTATTTATGTAGAAGAGGAAGATAACTGTTTATCTTTCCTAGACATATTGCTTAGTCGACGGCTTGATGGGTCAATAAAACGATCTATTTATAGAAAACCTACCTAGACAGGACAGTATCTTAATTACCACAGTTTCTACCCTGTTCAGTACAAAAGAGCCTTAGTAAGGTGCCTCTTCAGTAGAATCCAACGAATATACACTGAAGACACACTTGATGAAGAAAAAAGAAAGTTGACACAGACTAGTTGATAACAATTATCCAGACAAGTTCATCAAGAGATATAAAGTAGTCAGAACACCAAGACCCACTCTACAACTCGCCCCTAAGAAAGAAGTGTACATCAAGCTACCCTATGTGGGGCATCAAAGCAGCTTGATAACTAGACAAAAACTGAACGCTGCTGTTAAAAAGACTTTTTATGCAGCTAATATCATAATAATAGAGAATGTATTATATCTATCTATCGAAAAATGATGTCACATTCCACTGTATTTACCAGTTTGAATGTACGTGTGGACACACATACATAGGGAGGACTCATCGATCTCTGCAAGTAAGGGCTTCAGTGCATATTCCTAAATGCCTTCAGAAACAAATGGAATCATCAGAACCTATTAACGATGAGAACAGGAGACCTAGCTCTTCTATCGCGAAACACATTATAGAGACAGGTCATAAAATTGATGTTAACAGATCTTTTAAACTTATCTATAAAGTGTGTTTGGGGCGTATCCCAAAGTTTGTTGAAGCCTAGCAACTAGAAAGTTCAAGCCACCTTTATGCGTTCAAAAACAACTCGTCATCACATAACATATAACATAACATAAGCTTTATTCCAAATCAGTACTTGTGATACAGAATGGAATTCTCAGCATTTTACTACAATATTGCATCCAGTTTTTACATTAACAATAAATAAAGTTCTACATCACTACATCACATTAAACCTTCTTTGGTAAATTTTGTTTTGATACCATGGCAGATGTACTATTACCTCTGCTATTTGGTTTATTGGTCTTCATTGTTATTTTGCCCTTGAATATGTCCTTTTAACTTGACCTAAGTCTACTTTTCTCACCTCTTACCTCTTTATTAATTTCATATATATTTCTATGACAAGTCCATGTGCGATCAGATTGCTCGAAATGTGCTGCGCGCAAATACACACTACACGATTCAGACAAATTACGTCTTCTAATTGCTTTATCTATTCTCATTAAATAATAAAAGAACTATCAATGATAATAAGTAAATAACTAAATGGTGACAATAATAATTTTTTTTTGAATTACTTTTAGGTGATTTCTTTTTATTTTCAACTGGTTTAAAGTGTACACCAGGCATTGGACAAACTAGCTGCATTGGTGCAGCTTCAATTAGGCAATAATTTTTTCTATCCCATCCAGCACCTTGTAGATATAAATTACTAATGTAAACACCGTCTTTTGGTGCAGCTAATACATTTGCATCACTTGTTGCCAGGACAGTAAATTCCCAGCTCAGACTATCTACAGAAACATTATTCTTTCTTGCTGCTGTTTGTAGTACAGCTGTAAGAAAACCTGTTGGAAAAGTGAATGCACCAATCCAAAATAATTTTGGTGGATGTGCTGTACGCGCCCATTTAGCGAATAATTCCACTCGCGCGGCTAAATCTCTAGACCATGAACCTAATGGTTTCATTGAAGAATATGTCTAAAATGTTAAAAAATAATAATAATAATAATAAAAGTTATATAAATATACAAGTTTAAATAAAGCGAATATAGAAAATTTTCACTAATAGACAGACTTAGAAGATTTAAATTCGTTTTCTATATTAACTAACATCATCGGAAAGTCAACGAACACGAGGCTTGATTTTTACAACTGTTGGGATATATGTTGTCATTCAGCCGCCAAACTAGCAGAATCTAAAGCTTTCGAACTTAAGCCGATTAACACGTACACTCAATCTTTGTTTGATCGTGCCTCACAATTATTGATAAAATACTCAGTTGATTAAATTTCCAAGCAAAGAGTGATTACGTAAGCTGTAAGAGATTTCGAATACGACGAGTTTCTTCTTAACTTAACAAAGAATATTATAAACTTGCAACAGTTTAACTTGACTGAATTGACTAGAGTATTAAAGAAAGTGATAACTAGAGGTTACTTGCTCAATAGGAGGTTACATTCGAGATTCAGAAAACCCTCTCTGTCGATACTTACCTCCTAGATTTTGAATGAAAGGGATGCTTTATTTGTTGATGTAACAATACGGATGAAGCTATTCATATTGCTACATTATTCACCCTATTAACCTCGCCAGATTACTAGCTTGCTAGTTTTCTAGCCGGTCCCAAGCCCGGATAAAGAGGGAGGGTTGGGGCGTGGTGCTAGCAACTCCACCCCTGTAAAACAACCAAATCGCTACAGAAACTTCAACGAATAAATATATTAAAAATTCTAAAAACATAAGCAATAGCCTTACTTTTCGCTGGAATCGGGGAAGTGAAATGACGCAGGCTGGTGAAAGCCTTCGGGAAGCCAGTCAGCCGATGTGCCTTCTTTCGATGAAAGCAAAAGTAAGGATGGGTACCTGGAATGTTCGTACAATGTACGAAACTGGAAAGGCTGCCCAGATAGCCGCTGAAATGAGAAGGTACAGAATAGAAGTGTTGGGAATCTGCGAAAGCAGATGGAACGGAACTGGAAGGTGCCAACTACCTACTGGAGAGACAGTAATCTATTCCGGCCACCCAGAGGACAACCATGAGCACACCGAGGGAGTGGCCATCATGATGTCACCAACAGCAGCCAAAGCTCTCATGCAGTGGGAACCAATCTCCTCCAGGATAATGACAGCCAGGTTCAACTCAAAAGGAAGGAAAGTTACAGTCATTCAATGCTATGCGCCTACAAACGTCTCAGAACAAGAGAAGAAGGAGGCGTTCTACAGACAACTACAAGCAATAATGGACAACGTCCCAAATGGCGATATCAAAATCCTGATGGGCGACATGAATGCGAAGCTGGGAGGAGACAACACAGGAAGAGAACTCACCATGGGTCGTGAGGCCCTCGGTGAAATGAACGACAATGGTGAACTCTTCTCAGACTTCTGCGCCTTCAATGATTTGGTGATTGGTGGTAGTGTGTTCAAACACAAGGATATACACAAGACGACATGGATTTCACCAGATGGAAACACCAAGAACCAAATAGACTTCATCTCAATTTCAAGAAAGTGGAGACGGAGCCTACTGGACACAAGGTCAAGGAGAGGAGCAGATGTGGGTTCAGACCACTATCTAGTAGAAGGGACTTTCAAGGTGAAACTAAAAGCCTCGAGGATAGCTGGGGATAGGCCACAATGCAAGTTCAACACTCAATTACTGAAGGACACAACCACAAAAGACACTTTCACTGCAACTGTCAGAGCAAAGCAGGAAACACTACGCGACATCACTGAAGAATCATGCGTGGAAGAACATTGGAAGTCTCTGAAGGCGATTCTCAACGAAACGTGTTCAACGGTTCTAGGAAGAAAGAAGAGACAAGACAAGGAATGGCTCTCAACGGACACTTGGAAATTAATAGAAGAGAGGAGAATGGTGAAAGAGAAAATGATTCAATGCAAGGACGGACAGGAGAAGGAGACGATGAGCTCAACTTACAAAGCACTGGACAAAGAAGTGAAGAAGAGTGCTAGGAAGGACAAAAGACGATTCTACGACAACCTGGCCACTGAAGCTGAGAAGGCAGCAGGCAAAAGGGACCTGAGGACACTATATCAGATAACCAAATCTCTATCCGGGAAGAGATCAACACAAGCGAAACCTATAAAAGACAGCCAAGGGAACCCAATTACCAAGGAAGAAAAACAGATTAAACAATGGGCGGATCACTTCAAAGGACTCTTGAACCGACCATCACCTGCAACCCGTCCAGAAATACCAACAACAGCGCGCACACAACTGCAAGTTGACACCAATCCTCCAACGAGAGCTGAAGTCTTGAATGCAATCAAGCTTCTGAAAGCTGGAAAAGCAGCCGGACCAGATGGAATACCCCCTGAAGCACTGAAAGCGGACCCAGAGACGACAGCAGACATGCTGACTCCATTATTGCAAAAGGTCTGGAAGGAGGGAAAGGTGCCTACTGACTGGAGGAAAGGTTACCTCGTGAAACTACCAAAGAAGGGCGACTTAGGACTCTGCAAGAACTGGCGAGGAATCATGCTCCTATCGACGCCAAGTAAAATCCTGAGTCGCATCATCCTGGAGAGATTAAAGGACGCACTGGAGACAGAACTCCGACCAGAACAAGCTGGATTCAGGAAAGGCAAATCATGTACTGACCAAATTGCAACTCTACGCATCATCATCACAGAACAAAGCATGGAATGGCAATCAATCTGTTTAGTTGAAAATATTCACTTTAGTCATACAGAGCCACCAGCTCTCCTAACTGGCAGCACTGAGTGATATTTATGAGTGTTGAAGTCAAACTATGAGTTTGAGTTATATACAGGGAAGTCAATGATTGCTTGAAGTGAGTCCTCTACATGTTAAAAATTTATGGAGACTTAGTCAAATGGTGCATTTTAAGAACTACCTCACTAAAAATTACTTTTTATTATGTTTTTTTCAAACTACCGGTTCACTAATGAGCTGAGTAAGTTTCTTCTAGAAATTAAGCAATGTTGTAAAGACATCTAAATGTCAACTTGAGGATAATTAAACATAAGGATAATACACCATAAGATTATGAAAAAAGTGTAATGCTGTATTACCTTACTCCATTGTTCTGGAACATGTCCATCAAAAATTGAAGTGAATATCTGCTCCAGTTCTGAGGACATAACAACCAAGCCTTGAATACCTTTGTTTAAATCTGACAGTTGATTACGTATCAAACCAAGAAGATGATTGTAACGTTGTATTTCTTGTAGTAGAACAACTACTAGTGGTGAATGATCTGTTGCAAATATTTTTACAGTGCCTTCATAATCAATATCTTCAGGTAATTGCTTTTGAAGATTATCAATTAATTCAAGTACTTTTTCTTCACGTGAAATACCAGTTCCTTGTGATGTCTAAATTATTAATAATTGTATAACATGGTATACTGATATATTAAAAAATATATATTTTGGCATTGTAAAAAGAACCTAATAGACAGGCAGAAAATTCCGACTAGAGAACTGTGATGCTGATTTCTTCCTAACTGTACGACTTCAGTATTAATATTTTTGAATATTATTTCTTTTTATTTCACTCCTTTGCTCTCTGAGTGGAACAGAAGGCTTCAAACTTGATTTTTGAAGTTCTAGTAACAGTGGTATTTTTTTTAACAAGCTGGGTTTGCTAGACTTACGCTCAACCTTTCCTCATTACCGGTCTTATTACCAGCTAGGCGACGTTCCCGAGTGCGCCGATCAAGGATCGAACCCCAGAAGAAATGCGTAGTTGGCGAGTATTCTCTGAATTACCGACTGACTTATTTTTTTCAAAATTGAACAGTAATTAAAGACTCCATAAATTTAAAGTCGTTTTAATTGGAGCTAATTCATACTAATGTGTAATGATTATCCTACTTACGAATGAGCTTCTTGGCTTAGAACGTTATCACACGTTTTTAGTTTGCTGATGTTCTGATGAAAATCCGTGCGACATCCAAGACCATTCACTGAAGTGTTCATATGACTTCAAGCAAACTGTTTATACTACCACTTCATCTGAATCATATGAATGACTAAACTGATCAATAATAACAGCAAAACATCGACTTTAGTACAGCACAAATGCAATCAGTGGTTATAGACTCACATGAACATAAAGTCATTCATGATGGCACAGATCTACTCAAGCTTTGTCATCTTCGAAATTCTAATGAGATCACTACTCTTCATTTATTTTTTTTAAAATATTTTATTATGGCTTGATTCCGCACAATATTTTGATACATGTATGGAATTTTTAACATATGATATCGGTAGCCCAAATTTAGCAAGCCGACCATTGACATCACATGTGCGTTGGTCGGGGTTCAATCCTCGGACCATGTGCATGGTTGGCGAGCGTCCTTTATCTATCGTAATATTATTACATTTTTTGTTGTCTTCTATTATTTATGCCTTTTTGAAATGTAACGAATTGAATCGATGTTCATCTGCACAAATTTCCATGTTAATACTCGCCAGTCAATCAGTAATGGGGATAAATTTGACCTTCATTAAAACTGGATTACATCTTTAACATTCTAAGCTGGTCACTAATGCCATAAACACGATTGCACGAGCTTATAGAGTGACGTTTCGTATAAGTTTTAAAAATGTATTGCCAAAACTCATTAAACTTGTCCAGAGAAGTGATGAAAGAGACAGTGTAAACCTGAGATATTATTTATGATGATAATTTTCATTAGTCACTAATATTCCTATGTATTTTATTGTTACTAATCTCATTCCTTATCTGCTAATACAGTAGTTTGTTGTGGAAGAATTTTGAGTGAAGTGACGCTTAAGCTCAAAGAGAAAGTTTATGGGCATGTGTATTCATGTATCTGGTAGACATGTTATACAGTGAATGATGCACCCTCCTAATAGTGGTATTCCACCTAACCTGTAAGACTGATCAGTTGACAAGTTGTATGGTGTGTGTGTGTGAGAGTAACATAAAACACCTATTTACTAACGTGTTTCAGAAATAAAAGACTGTCATCATTATTCTTCCATGAAGGTATAGCTACATGTGGTAAAAAGTGTTATGACCGGAACTACGACCTAGTAGACTTTGAGCGAATACTAACTTAATGCGCTGGCTGATCTGTCCTAATCACACGTCAACAACACGCCTCTCACGCAAAGACAGAAGAGAAGACTGGACGTTGATAAGAGATCTTTTACTGTCTAGAAACAACAGTCAAAAGGGACCAACAGAGCCTGCGTATATATATATATATGATTAAAATGACCCTGAGAGGCACTAATGTATTAGACAGTGGACAACCAATAGGATTCCAAAGGTCATAGGCAAGGTGAGAAAAAGCCAGGTCATAAGTCAATAAGTGGGGTAAGAGAAGACAAACATTATTATTATTATATCCTTTAGTTCCTAGAGGAACATAGGACTTCAGCCGCGCGTCTCCATTGCGTTCGGTTTTCTGCCAACTTTTTCACCCCGCTCCAAGTCTGCCCACACGATTTCATCTCCTCTTCACATGACCTCCTCCATGTTTGAAGACAAACATACATGTAGGAAATTAGGCCTGTATATATCAAAAAGTATTGCATACAACTAAATGAGTAGTGAAATAGGCTCACCTGTGGTTGCAATGAAAGCAGTGTATCTAATAGCATTCTTGTCTCTTGAATTTGTGAAGTAATATCTGCATTTGGATGTTGACCAAATGCTTCAGGATGATCAATTTGTGGTAGTAAAGAAACAAATTCTCTGTAAGCATTCAATGTACCATCTCTTGGTATATAATAATGTGGTAATGATGATAGCTTGAAGAATGGTTCTTTCAACACTTCCTCCTTGAAATAATCACCTATATAGGTATTTAGCAATCGACGATCCCAATCATCTGTTACATGACCACCATAATTAATATCTGCTATTAAATAACGCAGTGCATCCCATGCTGTTTCATCGTATTGTTCTAAATAATTTGTCAGTAAATGTTCAGATACTTCAAAATCAGAATCATTAAATTCATATGGGATATTCCAGCCAAGCATTAAAAACTTTCTACGCTCTAGTAGAACAGAATGAAAATAGCACAATGCAAAGAGAAGTTTTTTATATTTCTCTGGTTTTTGACATGAAGAAAATTGATCCTCCTGTAAGAGAAAAGAATAAGAACAAATTGATCACTTGTTATCTATTTAAATATGTATGTATCGAGATAGAGAGATTACCTAGTAGTTACCTGGGGTTCTAGTGAGAAGTCGTGACCAGTGGGTTGCAGCAGGTCGGGTATGAGGACAAATACTCGCCGAAGACATTGGCTAGGGGTCGCGCTATTTCGTGAATTGGCAGAAGTTAGAATTCATGGGCCATTGGAATGAGTCCCAGTGGCTCAATGGTCTACGAGCTCGGGGGCCTTGTAACCAGAAGGTGTTGGGTTCTAACTCTGGCGGTGGGTGAGTACTGCTGAAGAGTCCCAAACTAGGACGAAACAGCTTTCCAGTACTCCCAGGTTTTCCAATGGTTCTCTAGCTAATGTCAGCTCATGATGAAAATCCTGTAATCAATCAAACCCCTACAAACCAACACTTGAATAGAGAGATTATTTTAATTCATGGATAATTCCTGAAGAATCCGTTTTCAATCAATTTATCATCAGGCTATGCAATCCTATATGAATATCACTTTTTTAAACGATAATGTGAATTGTGACAGAATAGTTAGTTATGTACTTCATAACATAGTTCATGAAATGTATATAAATCTCAAAGGGATGTAGAAATAATGGGACTAGTAAGCGATTAAAATATTGACTGACTGACTGACTGACTAGTCTCAATGTAGAACTTTGCACTGACGTGCAGCAGTTCAAGTTGCCACACCCCTTGTAGCACACAAAGCAAGGGAAGAGAGTAGAGACAGATATGGGGCAAAAAGAATAGCAAAATTGAAGAACAATATAATTTTATCGGGCTTCATAAATCATAGAGAGTGATTGCATCTGTGGCATTGTGAACGATTTTGAGATATATCATCTTAAATTTGATAGGAGCGAACCACATGTCAAATATTCGAAGATTGCTGCTCAAGATGTTCAGGAGACTCTGCTATATTTTGTCTTCAACTAGAAGGACTATGTCATCTGCGTATTCTAAGTCAACTAGATTATTCCCTGGTCGTAACAAGTCAATCCCTGAGTCACTGAAGTCATTTAGGGTTAAGTCAATTAGTAATTCTATGATGAAATTAAATAGAAATGCGGACGGTGGGCATCTCTGACAGGACACTACTGGTTGTCATCACTTCAGATGGTAACTTTCTGTAATCTCTCACCTGGCTGCATGAGTGCCTTGATCAGTGCAATGTATTTCCTTGACATTTCCGTCACAAACAAACATCACCAGACTATCTCTCGAATGCCGCCCTTAGGTCAAGAAACATGACGATTGCTGGACGCCAGTAAGTATGTCTACATTCCAGAATCTGTCAAAAGTTTAAGATATGATCAATACATCCTCTTCGTGATCTAAAGCCTACCCGGTTCTCTCGTGTTTGTTCCTCCCGAAAACCGCTTAGTCTATGCAAGATTATTGAGCCCAAAACTTTAGATACTACATTGTTTAAGCTAAGTCCCCTGTGATTATCACAGGAAGACTTGTCTACCATCTTAATAATGATAATAATAATTTTTCCTTCACGTTCCCAGTGGAACATAGGGCCCCAATCTAGTGGCTTGAAGTTTCTGTAGCAGTGTTCATTTTTTAATTTTACAAGATGGGGTTGCTAGCCACATGCCCAACCTTTCCTCCTTACCAGCATTATTTCTGGCTCAGTGAGGTAAAGGAGTGTGCCGGCCGGAGATCGAACTCCGGACCATGTACATGGTCGGCGAGCGTCCTAACCGCTATACCACCGACGCACTAAATCCAGCATCTTGTATATCAGAATAATCAATGATTTTCACTAGTCGACGATAAGAGAACAAGGCAAAAATTATTATTATATAAATGCGATAATGCCAAAAATTATTCGAAGGGGAATCGGTAATAACAATCAACATAATAAGGGAAAGATATGTAAAGTGAATAAACAGAAAGAAAAATAGCTAGGGCCAAAGTATGAGGCGGGATCATCACACTTTAGTCTAGAACGGATTAAGACCATGTGAGTTGAAGGAGTCGAACAATCTTTTTCTACATACAGACATCTGGTTTTTCTATTTCTATGGCCAAAGCTTCAGTAATACAGATGTGTGGGATTTGGGCAAGTTATTTTTCGTCTTGTAGATAACGTTAAATGAAAAAACTGTAGATATAAGGTGATCAATGTCAAATGGATATGCAATTATTGTGCTTCTTGTAGTCCAACTTCCACCCTTCGTAACCACAAAGGATAGTGTTTTTGCATCCTTTTGAGTGAAATCCTAGTCTAACGACTGACATACCCAGCTACACAAGGGCAGATGAATTGATAAACACACATAGAGTTGGTCAACTGCGGGATCTTTTCCTCCAGGTTATTGGACAGTAATGGTCGACTAGAAAACGCTATCCTCAATAGTACTGTGAAATCTTTCATTTATTGTTGTCGGTAGCCAAGTTGCCTCTGAATCCTAAGTTCATGTACAGCGTTTCCCGGGTTACTTACGTTCATTCACATTTCACAAATTCTAAATGCATGCTCTTGTCTATAAAACGTGTTGGAAATCCATTTTCCACTAAGGTTTCTTTCATAAGATGTGACTCTCCATCCACAGCATCAGGACAACCTATGCGAGAGATAAGTTTTTTGTTGTCTTAAGTCGACATACTCATTGATTGATTGAACCGAAATATTCGTCTCCTGTTGACATATCGGCTCGTAGTACGGATGCTTCGATGAAGTCCGAGAATTATTATTAATGTAGTTGGTGACTAGCCGCGGAATCCAGGATGCACATTTCGTGCTATTCGGGATGTACCTGCGATCCCCAGTGGGTGATGATGTTCCCACTAGGACTCGAACTCACTACCCTTCGTTTTAGACTCCAAAGCGTTCTCCGCTTGACCACTTAGCCCGTGAGGTTGAATTAATCAAACAAAATGACCGCAACATTTCAATGCTACAGTGTGAAGACATGCCCCTTTATGATTAAGTTAATTATTCATCTAAGAGACAGAATCCAGTGAAAACGTTTTTTTATTACAGCTTGATTCCACACCGTATTTTTGGTACAGGTATGGAATTTTCAGCATGTGATATCGGTAGCCCGAATTTTGCGGGCCGACCATAGATATCAGGTGTGCGTCGGCAGAGGATCGTCCTCCGGACCATGTGGATGGTCGGCGAGAGTCCTAACCGCTGTGCCACCGAGGAATAATTTAAGTTAAATATAATCAAGACGTGGCTGAAATTTGAAAGTCCTATAAGTGATACCTGTGTGGAAAAAAAGTCGAATCAATGGCACTACTGAGTAAATAGGAGGATTTACCAAAAGGTAATTCAAAGGTCGCTGGTTCACATCCTGCGGCAACCAAGATTTTCATATCACCATCCATCACATTTATATATATATATATATATATATAAGTGTACTCTTAGTACAAATAAAGGAAAACCTGGTCCAAAAATGTACCCGGACCAGCATACTGTAGCCTAGCAACTGAGTATTGTATCATTCTACTGATGAGCAGATTTCATAGAAAATGAAAGGCATTATAAAAATAAATTCCAAGTAACCAAAAAGTCGTAATCATTATTAAACAAAATTAAATTGACTACTAACTTCTAATGAAAGTAAAGCTTACCTTTACAAGATGATACAATCGTTTCATGTTTGCACGTAATCCTTTCGGTGGTTCAGTAGTCATCTTTATTCCAGCTTGTAGAATAGAAATAGGAAATGATGGACTTGGACTTGATGAAAGCCATAAACGAAAATCAGAATGTGGTTCTTCTATGCCTAATTGTTCAACAATCTTATCTAATGCAGGCATCCATGATAATGACAGATGACAATTAGCTAAAAATACCCAATTGCCTTCTTTTATACCTTCTTTAATTAATCTTGTTGCTATTGGTGATTGACCTTGACCCAAGGATAAAGCATGAAATTTTTTAACCATTCCACAATTATCAGCTAATTGTAAAAGTCCAGCTGTAGGATCTACACCCGGTGATAAGACGAATATAAGCGGTGTTCTTGTAGAACTATCATCCACTACTTGTTTCATATCTAATACTGGTGGTTCAACAAATCTACTGCCTAAATTATTAACAATAAAACTTGTTGCACAAAATGCTAAACGATCTGGTCTCAATGAACGTACAATCAGCATACGTTGAAATTCATTCAATGTATTATCCCATTCACCAGGTAATGGACTATTCTCTGGTTCAGCTGCTGTATACCATAAATTCCAATCTCTTGAATATTGTTCAAATGAGGTAACAATCCCATGAAAACTAGCTAATTTATCTAATTCCGTGATATTATCCCAACATTGTTCAGTTAACCATGATGTACATGGATTATCAAATTGATTTTCACGATCTAATACAACACCACCACGTAAAAAGAAATTATACTCATCTTGATTCACTTTACCAGCTGCTTCTAATATTTGTAAACAAATATGAAATGAAAATAATAATTTATGCCGTTCAAATAGACCACGACAGGTGTAACGATATACAGCATAAGTGTGATAATCATTCAAGTGTAATATACGATCATCTAATTTTGCTGATTTAGGACTTTTATCAATACTCAAAGTGAATAAATCAATATAAGCTTCTAATGAAAATTGATACATTGGATCTATACGACTCATATCATTTAATACAAAGAATAAGATTGATGAACGTTCAGCACAAGGACGATAGCCTTCACGAGCTTTATCAATTTGTACTTCAGTTTTTTCAGCTACACGTAATTGTTCAGTTACTTCCTAATGAAAGAAAATAAAGTATAAGAAATGAAATATTAGAAGTACAAAATGGTCAAAGAAATAAAGAAAAGCACTGCTGTCAAATTTAAATATTTCAAGATGGATTTCGTCACGAGTTAATATTACATAGAGAACCACTGGAAACCAGGGAGTACAACTGTTTTATCCTACTTTGTAGCTCTTCCTTAAGTAGTGTGCACTAGTACTGGATATGGTCGAATTCAGTACCCTTAGGTTATAAGATAGGGTCATTAACCATTGAGCTATTAAGTTTGGATGTAATGTGAAGTTGAGGGTAAATATACATTCAGTGATATTGAATGGTGATGACGCTATATCGTGAGTTGTTAATGATTAAGGATGAAGGACGACTGAATTCGAACGCAGTGCCTGGTTGATATAACGTACACATCTGCGTTCAGTCTTTCATGGGATGATAACTTTGCACTGTTGGACAGTGTCAAACTAGAACAAAACAACCATCTAGTACTTGCTGGTTTTCAATTGTATTCTAAGCAATCTCCATTGGAAATACAATCTGTCGTGAAATCAGTCTAGACCCCACAAAACCAACTTTTAAGAATAAATAATAACAATAATAATAGGTTAGATTTTTAGTAAAAAGCACTGAAGCCTTCTGAAATATTTGTTTTAAAAATAAGTTAAATATCGTAAACAAACACAGGTCTTTTTTTAGCAAAATGACATCATAATCCTTAAAGCGTAAAAAATATCTTCAGTTATTAATGAACAGCGGCTTCAGTTTCCTTGATATTAGAATCCGAAGTAGTTTGCTCCTCACTAAATAAGGTACGATTCGTCTCTAAGATGAACATTATTAATTTGGTCAAAAATATAACTCATATGAAAACATTTCAAATTGCCGAATAATCCTAAGGACATGCAGCTTAGCGAAACGTTTGTATTAGTAGTGTCAGCTTGTACCACTTTGGAGTATTTTTAAGTTCTTATTTGGTTGTTGGCCACTAACAGCGAAATCCAATCGGAAAACTATTACTTGCTGCAACGCGGCTGCATTCAAGAATCGAGTCCAACGTGAGAAACGACGTGCGTCTTGGGTTCACTGTTGCTTACCATCAACCGTAGAGCCTTATGCTGACCTAGAAGCATCCCCTAAGTGTCCATACTAGGCGACTTGTCAATACAGACCTAGTATTTTTTGGTCCGACAGAATCAACCAACGAGAAATTCAAAATAATTCTATTAGTTCTAGATTCTGCCCCAACAATGCTTGCCTCTTTGCACTACATTTACTGAGTTAAATGGTTTAATTCCTAACTGTTATTCTTTACAATGCTAACAGCATCAAATTCAAGAAGTATTCCTTCGACTTGATTCCTTAACTGCAGCAGTCAAAGATGTGTTGTGTTCTTTTGTAAATAATTCTCCCAGTTTCCTTTTTCATTCATCTTCAGTCTTTAACTACAGGATGTCGATTATCATCAGACTTATTATACGCCTCCTACTTCTATCAGGTACTGATAATCAATATCTCACGATGACTCATGCGTAGACACTGATGGATCAGTGTTTTGGGGGATTCCTCTATCTCCAAAAAATAGTGGCATATTGTGCCTATAAAGTTCTGAGCTGAGGAAGATTATTTTACCGTTGTTTTAATCCTGCATCTTTCGCTGTTTTTCTGGAAAAGAATCGCCTATGATAACTCTATGAGAAAGTGGTGATAAGCATTAAGGACTGTTACCGATTTTGATAGTAATGACAACTTTTGCTGCTTGAAATCTCTACAAGAATTGTATTCCTGCAAACGTAAATGAAACTTGGCAAATACTGAATACTAAAGAAGTTAGTAGGTCTACTATTTTTACCCACACACCAGTGTTCGTCATTATCACTAAACTCATCTTTAATAATAGGACACATTTCTTGGTCAGAACTATTTGCAAAGTGGTTTTATACCTGGTGACCGATTTGGCTAGTAAATATTAATAATTCAACAAGCCTTTCAGAACAGAAGAGTTGAACAAGTTACATTCATGGTGAAGTGTTTCGTGAAATGACGATACGACAATGCTGCTACGATAGATTGTTAATAATAATAATAATCAATTTCGATCGATTATGCTTTCACTAGCGTGCCCAGGCTCTTACTAATGTCAATAGTTTTAGTGATAGAATTCATTCTGAAAGCTGTTGTTACAATAAGTGGTGGTAGCTTATATACATCAAATGCTTACACTTTCTTTGTTTTCTTCTGGGAGTACTTGAAAGAGAGAAAGCCCTAGTTTTACGTGCTTACAGATGCCCAGGAGATTTCTAGGTCCTTATACACAGCTTCTTGAACTACTCATTTGAAGTTGACTTGCCATTATTTTCCAACTTCAATTTGTCACACAATATCACTATCTCATATTCAAATGCTTGTCAAACTGGTAGACTGTACAAACCATGGGATTTAAAATCACTCATTTTCACTGTATAAATCTACCAGGAGACAGAAAGGTATCGAGTTGATGATGAATAACTGAACAATCTGAAAATTAAATTTCACCAAAAACTCATAATTTTCTATCCATTCATAATGAATGAAACATTAATAAGTAGTTTTATCTACGTACTCTACAATAACAGATTATGAGATTTGTGGGAATTTAGATTTAGTTTCATCTGTTAAACTTCATCATGAACCAACATGAGTTAGAGGGACCATTGAAAACCAAGTAGCACTGGACAACTGTTTCGTCCTAGCTTAGGACTCTACATTCGTACTCACCCATAACCCCACAAGAGATCGGACCTAGGACCTTCAGTTCACGAGACTATGCTGGCTGACCATTCATTCACTTGACTGGAATTCACTGACCCTTAACAACACCTTTGATCGTCGTCCATTTCGCCTTAACATGGTTTTTAATGATATCTCTGTAACTGATGTTGGTTCGCTACGAAATCTAACAAATGAGGCTAAATATTCAATAAATGTTTTATTAGACTGCTTTAAAGTATATATGTAACTTACAGATGAAGTAGTTTTTGATGTTTGTAGTGTATTAACAAGTTGTTCATCATCTAACAATGAACCTTGAGCTTCATTTAATAATCTTAGAATTTCATCTTCTAACTCTGTGAGTTTACGTTTACCTGCAGCAATTCCCATAACTAAATTATCTTTTTGTTCTTCTAATTCAGGACGTTCTTTACGTACTACAATACCGAGTAGTTGAGCTTCTAATCCTTGTTGCTTTACAGCAAAATTTACAATTAAAGCTTTTGAACAGATTTCTGGTGTATAGTGGGGATTGGGCAATTTAGTGGTAATATAAAACCTGAAATCGGAAAATGTTTTTAAAAAATTAGTTGTTTATTTATGGTCAATGGGAGAATATTAAATAGTCAAAGTTCAAAACAGAGTGACAAAGGTTTTTAAAAAGATTTTCAAGTATGGGATTTTGTAGGAGTTTGGTTTGATTGGTCGGAGGATTTCATCATGAGCTGACATCATGAACCATTAGAGAACCATTGGGAAATCTGGGAGTGCTGGACAGCTAATTCGTTCTATTTTGAGACTCTTCAGCAGTACGCACCCACCGCCAGGGTTCGAACCCATGACCTTCCGCTTACAACCCCAGGGAGCTCGTGGACCATTGAGTCATTGGGACCCGATCCAATGGCCAGCCCCTGAATTCTAACTTCTGACGATTCATGACACAGCGCAACCACTTCACAATGTCTTCTTCGATGAGTTACTGTCTCAATTTCAACCTGCTGCACCCTACTGGTCACGGCTTCACACTAGAACTCCAGGTTAACTGCCTAAATGGGGTCAGTAGCTAATGAGCATCAGATCAACTTTCAAGTATTGGTTTTGTAGGGAATTTTGTTTGATTGGTTGGAGGATTTCATCATAAACTGGCATCAGTTATAGAACCATTGGAAGACCCACCTGGGAGTACTGGATAGTTGTGTCGTCCTAGTTTGGGACTCTTCATCAATACACTCCTACCGGGATTCGAACCTGTGGTTACAGGGTTTTTGAAAAGAATTTGTTGATTTGATCGATGTAATCCACTTAGGAAAGAAATGTTGGTGAGATGTAATAAAAGAGTAAGTTTTATTTTTAATTATGTATTATTTGTGACTTGAACCTGATGTTCCAGTGTTTGTTTGTTTACTTGTTTTACCGTATATTTGGTTGTAAATCTTTGTATACTGTTCTAAACTCTTATCCATAAAAGAATTCAGTCACTTTTAAATTCTCTGTTTTTCTGAAACTAATAAAACAAATATAGTCGCATAGTGTTGTTTTCTATGTGTTACAAACAGCCCATCACGTCTCTGACAGCACCCGGTGTAAATCAGAAGCAGTGTCGTTTTTTCACTCTTCTGTCTGTAATCTAATATTAGATAAACTTGTCTTCTTAATCAGGTTATTTTTAATGTAAGATTACAATGTAGATACTGTGATAGGGTATATATAATCCCATTTCAGATTTACAGTGATACAGCAATCTCTTGCTCAAAATTTGTTTTGTATAGCCTTACTCCCTCTTGTTTTTATTGCATTTTTCCAATATAATATCCGGGTTGCGTCATTTCGATTGCAAGTGTCTGGTATTGATTCGATAAATAAAGATTCAGTGATGAACCTCTCAAATATTACATATATATATATATATACAGGTCAGGAGTTTTAACTAAATTGATTATACAGAAAAAAAGATAAAGATTTAGGATGTTTTATTTATTTTCTTTTTTATTGTTCTGTTTTGAAGTGTTGCAGTGATATATAAACCTAACTGTCTACATGTCATTTTTATATTTGTGATTGTATTTCTCTCTCCTCCCCCCTTCCACTTATTGATTTATGACCTGATTTTCTCTCACCCTGCTTATGACCTTTGGAATCTTACTGGTTGTCTAGTCTTAATATGTCAATGACAATAGGGCGAAGTTAAACTTTCGACACCACTAACTACCAATCAGCGAATTATCCAATGAGATTCACGAACGATGTCGAATTATCCAATGAGGTTCACGAACGCAGTTCAATGTTGTATAGCGCTTGATTCATTTCTAATGCGTGACCTTACAACGCTACAGTTGCAATTTGAGGAGGTTAGTGTTTTCCACTATTTCCTGGATTTGAGTTGCTCCGGAAAGAGCGAATTTGTTTGTGTGTTTGTATCATTACTTTAAAAAGCTATACCAAATCAACTGATGGGTTTGTTCATCTGGAGAGGGTAAGCTGATAATTTTAATATTCGTAGGAACTTACTTTCACTAGGTCGCATCTCTCCCTAACCCAGATTTTTATCAACTATGGGTGTTGAAACAGCTGTGAAGCAGCGCCGAGACTGAGAATAGCCATGGTGGTACCAGTGTGGTGAGAGCAGGCTGCTAGCCGATTGGTTGGCACTAATCTACGTTAAGGTCTAGGTCACTAATGTGGGCCGTGAGAAGATATGAACAAGGCTGAGTCAACAACCAATCACAGCAAAGTTAACGTGGCAAAATATGATTCGCAGAGAGAACTCTATTTGTCAAGGAATCCCGAAACAACCAATCAGAAGCCTGCGTTTGTCTACCTAAACAACCAATCAGATGACTGCGCTTGTCTATAATAATGTAGTTGAAATATGTATAAATACGTGTTGATTTTCATAATAAAACGATCTGTTGCCTGGCCCTTGTCTTCTGTTGTTACATTTGGTGTCGCTGCCTACCGACAAATGGAAAGCCTATGCCCTGCTGTTTTCGATGGAGACATATGGATCTTCGGGCAGGACTTCAAGGCTTCTGCGCAGTTGAGTGGCGTTCAAGATCTGTCAGCGATGGAGCTGCTACTTGGGACGCTGCTGGGAGGTCGGGTGAAAGCAGCATATGAAAGTGTGAGCCGAAGTATGGACGAATGTTCGACAGGGTCAGGCAAACAGTTTCCAAAGTGGGAAGGACCATATATGGTCACTTCGAGATGGGGTTACGCAGACACAGTCGCAATGGCGAACAATAAGAGGCGCGTGAACGTCAGCGAGCTCCAGAAATGGATACAGCGAGACAAGCCAACGATGACGCCTGCACCAAGTAGATCAAGCCGACTTCAGTCGCACGTATTTGACGGGGGGACGAATGTGGTGAGAGCAGGCTGCTAGCCGATTGGTTGGCACTAATCTACGTTAAGGTCTAGGTCACTAATGTGGGCCGTGAGAAGATATGAACAAGGCTGAGTCAACAACCAATCACAGCAAAGTTAACGTGGCAAAATATGATTCGCAGAGAGAACTCTATTTGTCAAGGAATCCCGAAACAACCAATCAGAAGCCTGCGTTTGTCTACCTAAACAACCAATCAGATGACTGCACTTGTCTATAATAATGTAGTTGAAATATGTATAAATACGTGTTGATTTTCATAATAAAACGATCTGTTGCTTCGCCCTTGTCTTCTGTTGTTACACCAGCATGGGAGACGTTATCGTGCGTGTCGATGAGACAGTGCTGGTAAAAAAGAAATACAACCGTGGTCGCTAGCGAACGAACAATATTTGGGTAATAGGTTTGTATGACACCTCCCTCCGAAAAGGATTCGTCGAAAGGATAGCAGATGGAAAAGCATTGACAGTCCCGTGCTAAACTGGAGTTGTTTCTCTCACATGTTCGAGAAAGATATCCCATGTAACTTTTTCATTCTCTATTTTGTGCTTTTTTTCTATAAAAACATTTCCATTCATCATATATGCCTCTTAATGTAATTGGTTCGTTCGAGGTCGTTTGCTGATTGGTTGTTAGTGGTGTCGAAAGTTTAACTTTGCCGACAATAGTTCTTCTCAAGGTCACTTTAAAGATGTATACACTAGCGTTGTTGTTTTGGGGCAGTAAATGCTGTCTTATCAACGTCTGGTATTCTCTTCTGTCTTTGAGTGCGTGCCGTGTTATTGTCATTGTAGTTATGGTCGTGCGATTAGGACAGATTAACGAGCGCACTAAGTTAGTATTTGCTCATAGTCTACTAGGTCGTAGTTTCGGTCATTACATGCAATTTGAAGTAATGTCCACATGCATGTTGTTTCCTACGTTGATTCTTCATTTAGTCAAGAAGTTGACCGACAAAAAATCTGTTTTTAAGTGATCCAGTTTTCAAAACTGTACACTCGTATTTAGTTCTGATATCTTCATTGTATGTGAAAGGAAGTTTAAATACGAGTTGGAATCAAATCAACACAGTTAACATGCTTATTCAAATGACTGTCTACCACTTCGGGTAGCTGGTGATAGGAGATATTTTACGAAGCCACTTAAACACATAATATTTTCTGTGGACTAGTATTTCGACACAGTTATTCCCTGTTCATCATGTCTTATACTTTAGTCTTACGATCCACTACCAAATAGTTTACATTACTAAATTGCATTGCATACATATAATCGATTTTGCGTTTGCAACTCATCATCACAGTAACATTCTTTCTCTTTCTCATTTATACACATTCGCGCGCAAAATGATTCTATATTCTAGCAGAAATTATTTTATTTCCTTTAGTTCCTAGAGGAACATAGGACTTCAGCTGAACGTCTCCATTGCTTTAAGTTCTAAACCAAGGTTTTCACCTAGCTCCACGTCTTCCCACATGCTTTCGTCTCCTCTTCACATCACCTCCGCCTCCATGTCATCCTCGCACTGACGACCAACTCGTCGCTTCCGATTCGCCTTTCACTCGATCGATGGTTTGGCTTGTGATTTTGCTCACTTGATGGTTTGTTTTCTCAGAGTATGGCGGCAAATCCACCTCCATTTCTTTCTGCATATTTGTTGCGCAATTGGTTCCTGGTCAGTTTTCTCCCAAAGATCCTTGTTGCTGATGTTTTCTGGCTGGTCATCTTATCTTGAGTAATGAGTGAAGACAACTGTTGATGAAGATCTGTAGTTTGTTTGAGGTGCTCTTCATGATGCGCCAAGTCTCTGATTGGAGTTGCAAATCCGAATCTTATTTTTCATACTGAGCAGTGATGTTGACCTCCATACAGACTTAAGAGTAATGAAAGCTTGTCTTGCTTTCCCGATCCTCGCTGCTTTGATATCCTCATCAGTTCTGTTCGCCTGTAGTTGAAACGATGCTTCCAAGGTAGGTAGATATGTGAAGGAGGTTGCTTCTTTCAGACTCTTCCCATTTATGCTGATTGTTGTCTGTTGTTGTTACTGTTGCTGTTGGCCGGGAATCTTCATCACCTCTGTTTTCTCTATGTTCACCTGAAGTGAGGTCCTATGTTTGATAATTCTTCTGCCAACTTTTTGCTTTTCACTTGCATATCTTTCAGTTTTTAGGCATCTAAGATGAACTCGTCGAAAACAAGAATCCTTTATAAATTGTCATACTGATGATTCGTTTATGTTGTGATCAAGTAAAAATAAAGGCTTAAACGCTTTATTTTATTGTCTTTTCCTTAATTTGTAATCAATAACATTCATTGTCAACCTAAAAGTGAATGGATTCACGAGTGAATATTCTTTTTGAAAAGTGAAATAAAAAGGAAAGCTAAGACTAACCTAAATTTATCATTATATTCGATTTCTTTATCTCCTAATTTCATAATCAATGTACCACCAACTTTAATCAAAGATTTTGTCAATATAGGATCAAGAGCTTGATCTAGTTGTTCTTGAACATTTTGAAGTACTACCGGCTGACCATATAATACTGCAAGTTCTAGTGTACGCATATAATCTGGTGTTTGTAAATCGATAACTTTCAGATCTTTTCCTTCCATTGATTTGATCCATTTTAAGGCTTGATTCTGTGGATCGACCATCAATGGCCATCTATTACCACGGGTTACAATTACACCATTTTCAACTGAGAAAGTATCACGTGGTAAACCTTGTATATTCCATTCTCTGACCTTTGAAAAGTAAAGAATAAAGTACGATTTGAAAAATATGCTTGAAAACTGATTAAACAAATAGAAAAAACCCTTTTTCACGGTTGTAGTCTTTTTTGATAACGTCTGAAAGGTCGAGGTGACATTTTCACTTATAGATTAATACTACCGTTGTTTTACAATAAAATAATTTGCTACGAAATACGCATTTTAATAGTGCCTTTCACAAGACTAGTTTTCCTTCTATATCTGAGAAAACTAAATCCATACGAAATAATTCCATACTATATAATATTGTATGATATAACAGTATTAATAATTGAGTGACGTTCCAAGAACAGTTGTTATGACAGACAAATTTCCCTGTAAGCTGTGAAGTCATAATTTATGCATGTATTGACATGATAGGCTTACTGGACAGTTTTTTATTCGCTTATTTATGACTTTCCTTTCTGAGAATCACGATGGATTAGATTGGTTTATTTATGGCTTGAATTCGTGAGGTTTTTTAAATCAAATATACCATATATTTCGACTAATAAAAGTTTATACGAGTTTGACTACGGATCGATATCAGTTAGAAAATCATTGAAAACCAGGGATTACCTGACAGCTGTTTCATCCCAGTTTGGGAATCATCGGTAGTACGCATCCACTGAGGTTCGAACCAGTACTCCCTGGCTTTCAATGTTTCTCTAACTGATATCAATCGTGGTCAGATTCGAATAAACAAATATAATCCTTACAAACCAAACTCTTGAAAATAACAAAAGTTGAATATGATTTTGTATATATCTCATTGTGGTTATCAGTGGCTGCAGCGTCGTGTCTGGAGGTGCATTCGGTGCCGTCATAAGAATTTCATTGCTCATAATCCCATCAATGTAATTCACACAGCTCGATAACCACAGTACCCAAATTCTAACCTTACATTATTCATACAAAGTAGTCATCGGACAATAATCAGTGACATAATGTCATAAAAAATTCATTCATGTAGTACATAAGTTGTATGACTAAGTAAGTCTGTTGCATAACAGAGTAACAGGTTAATGGGCTTAATAACAACATAGTATTGAAATTAGTTTTTGAACCTTAGTTGACGATGGAGACAAGATATGAAATTAATAGCCCTATAGTGGCAAAGACGCTATATAAATCAGTCTGTTCAAGTAAGCATTCATAACTGTCTCATTTTCTGGGTAATATAAACTTCGCAACGATTTTTAAGATTTTGTATACTATATGTTCTCTACAGAAATCGCCTGGTCAATGAAAGAAGTCAAGAATGCTTCTCACCGTTTCGGTCAAATCTTGATCTCAATTCTTATAAATCAAACTGCCTAATTAGTAGACTGAGAAACTGATTCGAATGAGTTAATTTTTTTGTACTTTGTTATTTCTGTAGCCACTGAACTGACTTTCCGGGGTATGGTCGACAGCACCACGCTCCAATCACCCCTCGTTTTCTGAGGTTAGAACCATCCAATAAACTAGGCGAACTAACCAAGGACCTTTTGTCCAAAAAACATACCGAAATAGATGGATATGGATGGGACAGCGTTGAGTGGTATTATGCTCCAGGCCCTCGAGCGGAATCCGAATGGGAAACAACGAGTTGGGCATGCATCCAAGAGTGACATGGAGGAGATCATGTGTGGAGGGAATGAAGGCCTATGGGCAATCTAGGAGCCAATTGAAAAGACTACTAGTAACAGTAAAACTAATTAGCTAAATAGGATAATAATCATTTGCTTGATAAGCTGCTTTCCTTGTTTTCTCTAGGAACAAGACAGAAATGAGTCAATTCTTATTCAGTGATAAATACCAAAATGGAAACAGCATCAACTGCTAATTTACTTACTTGAGTTGGATCAGCTAAAAAGTCAGTAAAAATGAATGGATCTGTAACGGGTACATTTTCACTTCGAATTAATCCTAACCAATTTTTCACTAATTTCTCACGATATTCACTTAAAAATGGACCCATATAAGATAAGAAAGCTGCAGACAATAAACAATCCCCAGGTAATAATTCAATACGTCGTAAGAGATCAGCAACACTTTCTTCCCATCTTGTCTTTTCACCAGCTAACCCACTGACTAATTTACTCGCTCTGTCTAACATTTTCTCTGTATGCTCAGCTTTTCTGCGTAGTTCTTCTTTTTGTTCCATCTGTATAAATGAAACAAGTTGAAGAAAAATGTTTAATGTTTTATGCAACATATAAAGAAGTTATGTATTTTATATACAGTGAAATGAGACAAGATATTTTCGCTAAGGTATAATGATGTATCTGACTAAGAAATAATCGTGTAACAGAAATTGTTCTTCAACAACTTCAACTTCATCTGACCACTTCTATGTTTATTTCCGAGTTTACTCGCTCATATGAAGCAAGATATATGTATATGGGTCATTCAATGCGTGTTTTATTCAAACAAGTCAAAGAACATTAACCCGCTTCTTTACAAAAGGTAACAGTGGATCAATAAAAGTGCTGTAATTGAGCACACAGTCAATACTGGTCATTCAATATGCACGGAGAATTGATTCAAAGTCATCTACAAAGTCAAAAGAAGCCTCTCGAAAACAGTAAGCTTCCGTTTACTTAGCATTACCGGGGCCTTATCGATCCAGATATAAGACCCAGCTTTATATACACAGAAGAAACTCCTCCACCCCCTGCTTCTACCATGGGTATGATTCCAAGTTCTACAACTTTGTTAATAATGATTTTTTTTTGGTTTTTTGAAGTTTTGTATGACACTTTAGTGACATCTTCTTAACCAACCCTTTATATACTCTTTCTACGCATTAAGTAATTTACTTTTTGGATATGTGTTTTCATTAACATCCTATTTAATATTACGCAAACCTTGTCAATACTTACCAATCTTTACCCCACTCCCCCTAGGTACAATTTTGATTATTCAACACATTTTAAAACCATTTTAATGACGTGAACAGTATCCCTAACTAATTTTTAATTGTTACTACTTATTTTATTATTCAGGGTTCTAGTGGGGAATCGTGACTAGTAGGGTGCAGCAGGTCGGGTGTGAGGAAAAATACTAGCCGAAGACATTGGCTAGCGATTGCGCTATATCGTGAATTGGCAGAAGTTGGAATTCATGGGCCATTGGATCGGGTCCCACTGGCTTAATAGTCTACGAGCTCGCTATCCTTGTAGCTAGAAGGTTCTGGGTTCGAACCTTGGGGTAGGTGCGTACTGATGAAGAGTCCCAAAGCTAGGTCGAAACAGCTATCCAGTACTCCCAGCAGGTTTTCCAGTGGTTCTCTAACCAATGTCAGCTAATGATGAAATCCTGTAGCCAATCAATCAGATCCCTACAAACCACTACTTGAATTTTTTTATTTTTGTTTGACAGTCCTAATGTACACACACACACACACAAAATAATAAATATAAATGTGATTGTACAGCTAAGTGAATGAATTCGACGAAAAGAGACTCTTCACTGAACTTTGTTGTTCTTATAGAAATTTATAAGAATAGAATTCAAGCACTATTTTAGGGTATAACTTCACCGTAAAACAATTTTATATGATAAAACACTGACACAGTTTATTGTAGTAAATTGTTCTCGAGACGTTATCAGCAAATAATACTATCATCACTGTGTTTTGTCAAATGAAAGCATTCTATGATGGAACATAAATTAAACTTAGAAATTTGAGCACATTGAGCAGGATAAAACGGCGTCGTTTTATTTTTTGTTGGATTCTGTCATCCGCCTACAACCAGGAACAATTTTTGACAATAATAATAGTAATAGTAGCTTTATTCTGTTCAGAATTCTCGACGGTATTTGCCGCCTAATAGTTTAAAACAATTAGTCCCTTTTATAAATTTTGATAGCGTTATTAGAAGACGGAGACTATCTGAAAAATGTGATGTATTAGCGCTATACATTTCGAACAATCTGATCACACATTTACTTGTCAAGTCAATATATATATATAAAGGTTAAATTAAACAAAGTGAGAGAAAACGGAATTAAGAATAATTAACACAAACGTTTGGTAACCCAATCAAATAAGGATTACCAAGGTAGGTTAAGAGTAATGACAAACTGTTTTTGAATACACAAGGGGGGCTTAAGTCTATGAATAGCTATAGCCTCAGCGTATTCCAGTAAACGGCCTTGACCGTTTTTAGAGATGACCTTAAAGGCTGAGTTAGCATCAATCTTATGGTTCATCTCGATAAGATGTTTAGCTATAGACGAATTTGGTAGTCTGCCACCTGCATCTATTAGCTTGTCACAATTCATCTGTTTTTCTAACCATTTTGGGATATGCTCTCCCATCCTCACGTGCAAAGCGCGATTACTCCTCCCTATGTATGTATGTCCACACACACACACACACGAAAATTGGTAAATTGTATGGGATGTGATATAATCACTTGTGCACTTTTGGGGTTTACAGTGAAGCATATTTTTAGCCTGGCAAACGAAGCAGAACAAGCTGCAGGCAAAGGAGACCTCGCCACACTCTACCAAACAACTAGGAACCTTTCGGGCAAACGTTCGACACAGATTAAGCCAATAAAGGACGACAATGGAAAGTCAATCACCAAAGAGGTGGAACAGAGAAAGCACTGGGTTGAACACTTCAAAAGACTTCTAAATCGTCCGCCACCTACAACACGTCCAGCAATACCAACAACGGAAGCAGAACTACCAGTGAACACTGACCCCCCGACGAAATCAGAAGTCCTGAATGCAATCAAGATGCTTAAAGCTGGGAAAACACCGGGACCAGATGGAATCCCAGCAGAGGCTTTGAAAATAGACCCAGAGACAACAGCGGACTTGATGACACCACTACTGGAGAAGGTGTGGAAAGAGGGCAAAGTACCCGAGGATTGGAAGAACAGTTACTTATTCAAACTTCCAAAGAAAGGAGACTTAAGTCAATGTAAAAACTGGCGTGGAATTATGCTTCTGTCCATTCCAAGCAAGATACTAAGTCGCATCATCCTGGAGAGAATCAAACAAGCCCTAGATGAAAAACTTCGTCCGGAACAGGCTGGATTCAGGAGAAACAAATCATGTATTGATCAAATCGCCACTCTACGGATCATCATTGAACAAAGCTTGGAATGGCAGTCACCTCTCTATCTCAACTTCATCGACTTTGAAAAGGCCTTCGACAGCGTCGATCGAGAGGTCATTTGGAAACTACTTCGCTACTACGGGGTCCCATCGACAATTATACACCTCATCCAACAGTTATACGACAATGCTGCATGCCAAGTAATCCACAACGGGAAACTTACGGAAGCCTTCGAAGTGAGGACGGGAGTGAGGCAAGGCTGTCTACTATCACCAATGATCTTCCTGATTGCAATTGATTGGATAATGCGACAGACAACGGCAACCAACGAGGGAACAGGCATAAAATGGACTGACACAAAAGACTTGGAGGATCTGGATTTCGCCGATGATATATGTCTGATTTCCCATAAACTGGAAGATATGCAAGTGAAAAGTAACAAGTTGGCAGAAGAAGCATCAAAGATAGGACTTCACGTGAACATAGATAAAACAGAGATAATGAAGATTCCTAGCCAACATCAACAACACAACAGACCACAATAAGCATAAATGGGAAGAACCTGAAAGAAACAACCTCCTTCACCTACCTGGGAAGCATCGTCTCAACTACAGGCGGAACTGACGAGGACATCAAAGCCAGAATCGGAAAAGCAAGACAAGCTTTCATTACTCTCAAATCTGTGTGGAGGTCAACAGCAATCAGCATCAAAAATAAGATCCGGATTTTCAACTCCAATGTGAAGTCAGTGCTACTATACGGATCAGAGACTTGGCGAGTCATAAAGAGCATCTCAAACAAACTTCAAACCTTCATTAACAACTGTCTCCGCTCAATACTCAAGATCAGATGGCCAGAAAAGATCAGCAACAGGGATCTCTGGGAGCGAACCAATCAGGAACCGATTGTGAAACAAATAGGCAGAAAGAAATGGAGATGGATTGGCCATACGCTGAGGAAACCATCAAGTGACATCACTAGACAAGCCCTCGAGTGGAACCCGAAAGGGAGGCGGCGAGTTGGTCGTCCAAGGGTGACTTGGAGGAGGTCATGCGAGGAGGAGATGAAAGCATGTGGACAGACCTGGAGCAGGGTGAAAAAGTTGTCAGAAAACCGAAGTCAATGGAGGTGCGCAGCTGAAGCCCTATGTTCCTCTAGGAACTAAAGGATACAATAATAATAATAATAATAATATAATATTTTTAGCCTAATAGTTCCTCTTCATCCAGGATCTTCAAGTAACAATCCACAGTATGTCACTTGACGCAACACTATTCGATATAAAGTATAGAATAATCCCTTATAGTATTTTTCTATGGTCTGCGAGAAATGCGCACCAGTAGTTTGAAAGGAAATTTAAAATGTGTGTGAGTACATTTTGTGGCTCAGGACATAAATTAGTGATCAAAACAATAAGAATTAAAGAAAATATGATGCAATCTGTTGGATGGAAATTTAGGTAATTCATTGATCCAAGTAGGCCGCCTTCATCAACTAAGATTAACACTACTAACAGTGTTATTTGGGTGTCACTGAATATCTAAAAGAATGTGTTTGAGAGTTTCAGTATCGACACGTTTTTTTTTCAAGAAACCGATTAGGGTATGCAGTATTTCTCGAATAGATAGTAAATCAACTACTAAGATACCCGTACGTTTACCCAGCACACTGAGAGCACTAAATGTCAAATATCTGAAAGAATTTTAATCAGAGACATTGAAAGCTATTTTATGATTTTATTTTCATTCTGGAAAATGAGAAGACAGGTGATTGAGAGTATTATAAACCTTGTTGAAATAATAGAGTAGATTTATAGCTGAGGTGGATGATTTGCAATTAGCAGTGTTCACTGAGCTGGTTGATTTAATTGTGGAGCTTTCGTCGTCCTTCTAGACAACATCTTCAACGCAAGTTTTAGCATAAACTGAAGTGATTTAAATTCTCCATGAATGATAGAACAGCTTTTCCTGGTAGTCAGTTTACATCTGTATTCATCATTGTTTATTGACATGGATTTTGAACTCTCTTATCACATGATTCACTTTTTATTAGTTGGTAGATTTGGTCTATATTAACATGTTCGTTAATCGTGAATTCGTTTGAGTACCAGGCTTCTAGGAATTCTCTGGCACTTTCGGTGCTTTCTCTGTTTACAATTTCTACATTGACTCAATCATCAAATTGGTGTCCATGGTTGTCTACATGCATTGATATGAAACAGGAATATATATCATGTCTTTTCACGGCCGATTTGTGTTCTTGGATTCTTATTCGAAGGCGACGCCCACTTTGGCCGATGTAATGTCTGTTACAGTTCATACAAGAAAATCCATCCTACCATATACAAAAAATATCTCTGAAATAATAGCCAGAATATTAAGACCGTTTGAAATAGATAAAGCATACAAGCCAGTCAGTCACTTCATTCGATATTGTGCAAACCGAAAGATCCAAGAGAAAAGGAAGATAAAATTATTACCATTTACAAAATAAATTGCATGCCTGAACTGTAACAGACATTACATCGGCCAAAGTGGGCGTCGCCTTCGAATAAGAATCCAAGAACACAAATCGGTCGTGAAAAGACATGATATATATTCCTGTTTCATATCAATGCATGTAGACAACCATGGACACCAATTTGATGATTGAGTCAATGTAGAAATTGTAAACAGAGAAAAGCACCGAAAGTGCCAGAGAATTCCTAGAAGCCTGGTACCCAAACGAATTCACGATTAACGAACATGTTAATATAGACCAAATCTACCAACTAATAAAAAGCGAATCATGTGACGAGAAAGTTTAAAATCCAAGTTAATAAAAAATGATCAATACAGAGGTAAAGATGGTTATTCTATCATTCACTAAGAATCTAAATCAGTTCGCTCTGTGCTAAAACTTTCGCTGAAGATGTTGTCCAGAAGGTCGACGAAAGCTCCACAATTGAAACAGCGAGTTCAAAGAACACTACTAATTGCAAATAAACCTTGTTAGGCGATTTTGAGCTAAAAGCTTTACGCATAAATTAAACACAAAACACTGTTCTTATAAAATTACAAGGATAATAATTTGACTACAATCAGTTTTAATCACGTGAAAATTTAATGTTTCGCGTAGAATATCACTGCACGTCGGTGGTTCAGCAGTAGAACACTCTGCAACCACACCGGCCGACTCACTTCTATACCTCGCTAAACTAGTAATAAGGTCAGCAAATAGAGAAGATTGGGCGTGAGACTAGAAACCTTATCCCATAAAACTGAAACCACTGCTACCTAAAATTTAAAGGGAATGCTTGAAGCCTTATGTTCTACTCGGAAAGTAATGGATAAAAAATGTAGGATATCACATAAATGATGAGAATACAATTCAGTTTTCTTCTCTGATAAAAGCATTTATAATTACAAGAACTATTAATCAAATTAATTTAACAGACATACCTTTTCATTATACTCTTGTTGTAATCGACGCATTTCAGCATTGACTTCATCAAGTTTAGCCTGGGCAGCTGCTAATTGTGCTTGTTTTTCACGTAATACTTCTTCAGCCTGTTGAAGTCTTTGACGTTTTGGTTCAACAATCCTGTATACCCGACCATAAACATCCATTGCTCTTACCCACATACATAGCGATTTAGCTGCACTAGAGACCTGTGTTAATTTACAAAATAACCAATACGTATTATATAACTGGTCAATAATTTACTAAAATTCAGAAACACATTAACTACATTAATTAACAAATGGAATGAAATTTATCAAAATAAATTTTAGAATAGGTTTTGTAGGCTGCAAAATAATTTCAACCATTTTTTAAGTTTTTATTCGTTAAATTCTAGAATTTGGCATTAAAATAGACTTGTTTATTTTTTTATCTAAAGGAGTAGCCCCCTTTTTTAAACAGGAAATACCAAATGATATAGTTTGGAATAATCGCTGAGTAGAATTAAACAGTAGTGAAAATTGCATTCATAGAATTTAGTGAACCATAATTCATGCCAAGTAATCCTCACGGAATCCTTCGAAGTGAAGACGGGAGTGAGAGAAGGCTGTCTACTATCACCAATGATCTTCCTGATTGCAGTAGATTGGATAATGCGACAGACAACGGGTAATGAGGAAATAGCAGGCATAAAATGGACTCACACAAAAAACTTGGGGGATCTGGACTTCGCCGATGATATATGTCTGATTTCCTACAAACTGGAAGATATGCAAGTGAAAAGCAACAAGCTGGCAGAAGAAGCATCAAAGATAGGACTTCAGGTGAACATAGAGAAAATAGATGTGATGAATTTTCCTAGCCAACAGCAACAACAACAGACAACAATCAGCACAAATAAGAGAAATTTGAAAGAAACAACCTCCTTTACCTACCTACCTACCTGGAAGCATCGTTTCAACTACAGGCGGAACTGACGAGGATATCAAAGTGAGGGTCGGAAAAGCAAAGCAATCTTTCATCACTCTCAAGTCTGTGTGGAGGTCAACAGCACTCAGCATGGAAAATAAGATCCGGATTTTCAACTCCAATATGAAGTCAGTGCTACTATACGGATCACAGACTTGGCGCATCACGAAGGGCACTTCAAACAAACTACTGGCTTTTATCAACAGTTGTCTTTGCTCAATACTCAAGATCAGATGGCCAGAAAAGATCAGCAACAGGGATCTCTGGGAACGAATTGACCGAGAACAAACTGTGCAACAAATGTGTAGGAAGAAATGGAGGTGAATTGGCCACACTCTCAGAAAACCATCAAGTGACATTACAAGACAGGTTCTCGAGTGGAAACTGAATGGGGAGCGGCGATTTGGTCGTCAGTGTGAAGGTGACATGGAGGAGGAGATGATGTGAAGAGGAGATGAAAGCATGTGGGAAGACGTGGAGTCAGATGAAAACGTTGGCAGACAACCGAACGGTATGGAGACGTGTGACTGAAGCCCTATGTTCCTCTAGGAACTATAATAATAATAATACCATAATAATTCATGGGTAATGAACACATATTCTAGGTATGAAGTTTCCAAACCTATCTCTTGTTTCATTTTTTATTCATGAAAAATTCCCATCGGAACATTAATACAAACAAGACAAATAGTTCATCAAAGAGGCCTTTTTCGGTAAATTCATTTTCTTTTACCTGTATAGTCACATTTATGTACAACTTTCCCATGAAAGAGGGTATTAACAGAAGTTGCCACGAACATTGTTGTCAATTTTAGTCAATATATGACAGGCGTTGAATAAGTGTATTAAAGTTACATAATAAGATGAATAATTATAAATAAATGAGTTATAATCAGGACTCACATAGAGATAAAGGAAACGTAAGAGTCATGAGGAGTTAGAAAAACAAACAAAAGTCAAGTCAGCAGTAATCAACAGTATTTTTACTATGATAGTAGGAGTAGTTGAATAACCTTCTTTTGTATGCATAGCTCCGGTTTTACTAATTGAACGACTGGAATCTCAGCAGTGTAAATAAGACAAGAGCGTATTACCTTTTTGGCAGGTTATTCTTCTCTTTGGAGATTACTTTGATGGAGACGTTTGTGGATATGAAACGCTCAGAGTTGACAAAGTGTCTGACTATCGTACTGCTCACAGAGCCACTATTACTTTTCTGCTACCAATGCAGGATAGTGTTCTTGAACCATTTTTATTCTTGGGGTTCTTCAGTGATATGCATCCAGGTTTTATTACACAAAACCAAGATTATGTAAACTACAAAACATATCTAGAAACCCATTATATGAAGTTATGTAATCCAGTTACTTGGTAAATGTGTCTTTTAACTTATTTGATTGCAAGGGAGGAAAATGAAACACGTTTATACTGAAGATGTGATAAGATTAAGGGATGATAAAAAGGGGGTTGAAAATATAAACAAGGGGTGGTGTAGAAGTCATTAGTCGGTTACAATTTAATGGTAACTTATCAAGTGAGATTTTATTCCAAAGACTTTCAAGGAGCATAGGAAGAACATTCTACGCAGCACACCTATTTCTGCCATTCTCTAGCCGACGAATGATTGGGACGCAAACGAAGGATAAGCTTGATAGTTTCGCCACATCTATGTGCCTGTATCTATTCAACTGCACCTGCGGTGACAGTTATGTTGGGCATACTACTAGACAGCTTAACCAACGTGTTAGTGAGCATCTCCCATCATGGTTTGGCAAAGGATAGACAAAAACAATCCGTAGCTCAATTCTGTCACATTTAATTGATAGTGGTCATGTAGTGGAGAAAACGAGAGCCTTCAAAGTAATTCATCGTATCCCACCGAATCTTTCCAATAGACTTCGTATTCGTCTACTGCATACAGCTGAGTCAGGCGGTATGCATTCGAACTATTAAACCTAAACTATGCATTCAAAAGAAGTTCGTACAGCCATTATTCCTCCCTTGTTGGCCTATTAAGACATAACCAACTAATGACTTCTACACCACCCCTTGTTTATATTTTCAACCCCTTTCTTATCATCCCTTAATCTTATTTTAGTGTCTATAAATGGACAGTCTCAGCTTTATATATTCCTTACGGTAGCATATTTATGGGTATTGTTTCACTGAACATAGTGATAAAGATAAACTTTATTGACCACTGGTATATTGCACTAGTTTAAACCAATGGCGTTTGGTCTAGAGAATTTTTTCTACAGTATGAATTGCGAAATTTTGTATTATATCTCTATGAACAAGTACAAAAATGAACCTTTGATATTCTTCATCTTCAGCTCAGGCACCCTTTTAAGCTTTACTCATTATATTTCGTGTTTATCAAGTACAAATATCAATAGCAAACATACCTTGCCAACTACATCAGGATGAAAATCATCTTGAGCACAGTATTGACTAATTTTCTTCAAAGTTTTATCGCTTATATTATCTTTGTCAAAGTTTATTAATTGTTTAATAAAATCTTGTTCACCAAGTTGTCGTTTTGATTCAGCCCAACTTGGATCTGCACCACGTAGAATCATAACAGCTTCCATAACCTACCATTTAATATGTGAATTTAAAAAAAATTTTTAAACAGTGAAAAAGTAAGTAAACAATATTCAGTCAGTTAATATTTTAGAAATATCCTCCCGTCCCCCACCTTAATTTGGTTTTGTGCAATGTAATTGTTAAACATGTACAATCCTTTTTATTTATTTTCTTCATGTTACTGTAATCCTGTAATATTAACTTCTAAATAGGAATTAATTATTATTTTTTTCCTTCATGTTCCCCAGTGGAACATAGGGCCTTAAGCTAGTGGCTTGAAGTTTCTGTAGAAGTGTTTCATTTTACAGGATGGAGTTGCTAGCCTCATGCCCAACTTTACCTCTTTACCAGTATTATTTCTGGCTTACCGAGGTATAGGAGTGCGTCTGTGGCCGGGGATCGATCCCCGGACCATGTGTATGGTCGGCGAGCGTCCTAACCACTGTGACACCGACGCACAAGGAATTAATTATACTTGATACAAATGTGCCGAATGTATGTAGGGATAATCTGTCTAGAAGGAATTAGGGATTATATTGAATTTAAGACACTGGACATCATGAATCAATACTTTTTAGAAAATGTTTGGTCGAACCACATATCTGTGATTAATCTTCATTAGGGTTCATTCATGATCCCTTAGATACTCGAACATTCACGCTGGGGTTCATACTGTAGAAAAGTTAACCGATTGTGCTAAATTTGAAAACGAAGGTAAGGAAATGCAATCCGCATGGGACAGAGATCTGTAGACTCAGGCTAGGAGGATTTCATTTTAACAGATAAAAGAAGTAAGATTGTAGGGTAGTCATAAATCGACCAAAGTAGGTACATGATGGTATAAGATGAAATTTCAGGTGACAGATTTAGGCTGTCTACTGACTATACCGAAGAATTAAATATGACTCCTGTAAGAAAATACAAAAAGAAATAGTGACTACATTACACGTCAGTAAAGTAACAGCGAGAGTCTCATGTATAACGCATTATTGTCGGCTAGATGTTGACACAAAAAGAATAGACAGTTTATAAGTCTATCCAGACTATAGATGTTTAAAATGTTTCAAGGTTCTTTGGAACACAAAATCTGATTGAATCATTGTTAAAGTAGTTACAGAGTCTGGCCTCTCCACTTCACCTTATAACTCTAGATGAAATTGTAAACTAGGTATTAGTCGAATTTTTATGCGAGTCAATTACTCAGTAATTTGTATATTTGCTCATTATTTCCACTTATATCTATAGGACATGAGTTAATGATAACAAGATCGATTACTGAACAAAGAATACTCTTTACGGTAAATTCATCATCAGGTCCTACATTTAGTGGTTTTTTAAAAGGAGAGTAACATCGAATCATTTAGATCAGAATTCCAAAAGTTATTTGCAATTAGACTGTTAACAGATTATAGTCTAAAATATATGTGTATGTAGTGTGGTGAGGGCTGGCTGGAAGCTAAAAATTGCAGGCAGCAATTTATGTCAATGTTACGTCCCCAGTTGGGGTCTTGAGAAAAACAATAATAAAGCTTAACCTTGAGGAACTCACCAACCAATCACAGCAGACTTAGCGTGTGCAAATACGATTCGCAGATATATGGCTTAACTTTCTGAGAAACGGTCACAAGCAGTATAGGATAACTTTCGGCAAGGAAACAACCAATCAGAAGACGTGGCTTCTCCCCTGACAATAATGTACATAAAAATCTATGAATATCCCTTGATTTTCTCAATAAACGATTTGTTTCTTGATCCTTTTCTTCCGTCGTTACAGTGGTAGTAAGCATAATTATAACACTAAATTGAACACCTGATATGTATCCACATATATATATTTATGTGTGTGTGCATGTTGGTCTCTCTTTCTGTTTGCTCGGTTAGTCTGTGACCACTTCACTTGTATGGACTTGTCTCCTTTAATAATGTATATTCTCCTTATATTATATTATATATAATATGAGTGTTTGTTGACAGTCCGTCGCTTGGTGACATATATCCATATATGTTTGTTGACATGTCTGCTATATTCGCTATGTATAATTGGATCGACACTCCATTATAATTAGCCATTCATGTTAAGACTGTCTAATGATTTTTCCCACGCTTGTCTGAATTATTTATATATATTCGCATTCACAATTTGTGTGAACTACTTTACAACCACTTGACTTACTTACCACTTTGGTGTGAGACCATTTTATTTTCGTCTCCTTGTTTTTGGACAATAGAAGTATCATCGCAAACCTAGTGGTCTTCTGATTTCCGCCTTCTCGCGTCAGGACTATTAGTTTCTCGACCAGTCCATAACAATAATTCAGCGACGAGTACATAACAACACCAATATCAAAAAGTAAGTGATTATGAATGACAACGAATGCACAGTAATAAATTCTCATGAGTCTTGTTCATATTAAGTTCCATTCATATATTGATTATAAACTTCAGATGGATGAGTGATCATGTCAAGTACGGGGGTGGAGAAAAAGGGTCCTTGACATGACTCATAATGATTTACTTTGTAATATTGGTGTTCAATTTAGTGATACAATTTCACATATTACCACATACACATATATTTTAGGCTATAATCTATTAACAGTCTAACTGCAAATAACTTTTGGAATTCTGATCTAAATGATTCGATGTTACTCTCCTTTTAAAAACCACTACTGTTATCACTAACAATCATTCTTTCATTAATATGGATATGTAAGTGTAGAACCTGATGATGAAGTGGCAAAGTTAAACTTTGAGCACCACTAACTACCAATCAGCAAATGACCTTGAAGGCACCAGTCACGTGAGGGAGGCATTTTTGTGTACGGAATATATATGTATATACGAAAACAATTCATAAAAACTGCATAAAAGTGTTACACAGGATACCTTCCTATTACATGTAATAAAATAGCTCTCAGTTTTAGGTTGTAGTATCAAAAGAGTGTAATTCCATTGTGGGTAAAATTTATTTTGATAAAGTTTCATAGTGTTATACAGTAATATTTCCTGAGCAATAAATTGTGCTCGCAACGTCATCAGTAAATATTTCTGTATGACACTGTGAGACTTTATCAAAATAAATGTTATCCACAATACAGTTATACTCTACCACAGTGCACAAGTTCTATTCTTACATCAACAGAGTAATTTAACTACATACTATGCATGTAATTTATTTAGGTCTTCTAACCCTAAGAATAGCCCTAATCTTTGCTGAACCTAACCCTAACGTGAAAATATCTCTAAACTAACTATAATCTAACTCGAACCAACTCTAATACGCCTTTTATTACGTTAACCTAACCCTAACTTGTTCTTGACCTAAACCGTAACTTAATCTTTCCCAAACCTAAGCTGAAACTTGCTAGATATCCCACTTAATAACATAACACTTCGATGAGCAAATTTTATTGATGATGACAAAATTATTTGTCAGGTTTCACTAACTTGCTCAGTGAGCGTTTCAAGGTCATCAGTGCCGCCGCACTCCATTGGTAACTAGTGGTGCTTAAAGTTTAACTTGTCCGATATTAAGTTATTGAAAATGTGAATGTTCTTTGTTCAATAATCAATCTTTTGAAATTTCTCATGGGCATCTTTAATCAATTAATGATAACAATTTAAAATTAACTGAGTAAAAGTGATACAAACCTTTTGTACAAGAAGTGGTGGTTTACCATAGGATTTAATTTCTGTAATATCTTTTTTGTTTAATGCTTCTAAAGCTTGTACAGCTGCTTCTAATGCTGGCATAGCTTGGGCTAAATCAGCTTGAGCTAATTCAGCCATATGTAAACATTTAGCTTCATCTATTTTTATTCTTTCTTGAGTTTGCATAACAGACTATAAATTAAGAATAGGAAAACATCTTCATTCATTATTGTTGGTAATTAATTATTAATAAATGTAGATTTAAACTAAGAAAAGTAGTATATATAAAAGTAGTATAAAATGCCTTCTAATTTCTTCAAAGTAATTCTATCTTTTTCCTGAAATTCAAATTCTTACAAGGACTTCCTTTAATCAAACTAAAGTTTTAGGCCTTGTAACAACTTAATTTTCAACTATACATTTTTTTTAATCCTTCACGTTCCCAGTGGAACCTAGTGCTTCAAGCTAGAAGCTTCAAGTTTCTGTAACAGTGTTTATTTTCACAGGATGGGGTTGCTAGTCTCATACCCAACCTTTCCTCTTTACCAGCTTTATTACTGGTTTGGCGAAGTAAAGGAGTGCGTCAGCCGAGGATCGAACTCTAGACCATGTGTATGGTCAGCGAGCGTCCTAACCGCTGGGCCACCGACGCACAAACTATACATTGCATACTAGGAATACTGCTCTAACTAATCAGCTAGGAATATGTATGAGTCAAAAATGGCGTATAGTTCAACACATGTTCAGTTATACATTCACCTATTTGTATAGAAATTTGGCTCATAGAAATCAGCAGTCAGCACCAGTTACTATTTGACACAACACTAGTTACATCCCAGTGACCAATAAGTATAACAGTTAGAATCCTAAAGCAGATCAATCGTTGGCATGAACAGTTCAGTAGTAAGTGTATATTGCTGTATCCTCGATGATGCGGACTCGGACCTCCAGAGAAAAATCTTTTTTCTTCAGGATTGTAGTTTAGCCTTGTTGATGAGCAACAATCAACACGAAATCAGGATCCAGAGCTTATTACTGGTTGCCTCTAACTGTCTAAAAAGGCGGAGTTTTACTATAGCTGCCACCCCGACCGACGTTACCACTGATCAGAATTAAGGAGCAATAAAATCAGCAAAACTGTCAAAAAAAGGTAACTATAAAACATAAGATGTTTGAGATCTGTTCATATTTCTGTTTCCATTCTTTAATATATCCTTTAAACTCCAATCCTCCCTCAAGACCAGTTATCTTATCAAGCTTTCCTTCCAACCAAACCTTTGTTCATCAATATAATCAAACATTCGATCTTCCTGTGACTCGTTAAGCAAACTCACAACACATGGTTTTATGATATTTGATTGAACCACATGTGAATTGAATTGTTTGTCAATGTCCATATACTGTTGTAGTTTGACTTCTTATCTAAGAGGTGCATTATCTCGGCATCACTTAGTGAAGTATTGTCAAGTGAAACTTTATCTGTTGATAACCAATGAAATATCTTCTGATGGTTGATAAACCCAACATAAAACAGCATATTATCCTTTCTCACAAATGGTGTGATTTATCTTGTGATGGGGTTACCTATGTTAATGTATCATTTCTCACGCATATTGTGATTTAGTGTGTGTGTGTGTGTGACCAATTCATCTTCTTTTGTCTCACCTTGATCTTCGTCTGATCATCAACTTATCGGGATAGATATTTCCAACCAATACGAATAATACAGTCTCACGGTCGTCAATCGAATTTATTATGGTTAAGAAAATGTATAAATATCATGTGTTGTTTCTTAAACTATATGGGATAGTATAATACAAATCGCATACAGTCACAGGCCAGTCTTTGTCTTTTGATATTGGCGCGTGGCTCATGGAATCGGAAGATGCAACGGACAAATAGGCATATTGGTGTACCAGTCGAGTTCATTACCGTTATAGTAATAACAGGTGCAGATGTAAATGTGGTGAGAGCTGGCTGTTAGTCAAAATTGGTGGACAGTAATTTACGTCAATGTTTATGTCCCAAATATTGGTCGTGAGAAAAATCAGAACAAAGGCTTTGCGTAGGCGGATACAGCTAACATATAGATGATCTGACATTCAAGAAACAGCCACAACGAGATGCAAGGTTAACTTTCTGTGAGAAACAACCAATCAGAAGACTGTGTTTTTCCGCTAACAATAATCTGTAATATGTACATGAAAATCTATAAATATATGTTGATTTCTTTAATAAACGATCTGTTTCCTGGCCGTTGTCTTCTGTTGTCACATAACAAAGTAGAAACGGATTTATTCAGTTAAGTTATAACAATGGTAAACAAGAACAACTGAACTTCAACTGAACAACTACCATTATGTTTAATAGATGAAATACATTGTAATTGTTTAATCTAGTTATATTCTTACCTTCGCTTGCTCATCAGCTTCACGTTTTTGTTGAACAATAACTACTAAGTAATCATCGCATTCTTTTTGAAAGGCTGATACCTTCTTTCGAGCTTCTTCTAATTCCACAGACATTACTGGAAAAACAACGGGATAAAATTCATACGCATACAATAAATGAGATTTCATTGGAAATAGACGAATAATAATAATAAAAATTCTCATGATTTCATTCTTTATTTCGCCTGTGTTTTCCGACTGATACATTGCGTTTATTATTCTTCACTTTTTCTCTAGGAAGTTATTCAATAAAGATTTTAGATGTTATCAACCTGTAACACAGAGGTTTTTCTCTTCAGTTTTCCAAAAATTCGGATATTATTTTGCCTTCTATTCCTCTAAATTTGCAATTCGAGACAAACTCATTGAGAGGATCTAGAATCATTATTAACACTGTGCACATATCAGGTCAGCGTATGTGTTGGTAGCGTACTTTACCTTTTCGACCGTAGCTGGCGTTGACAGCTTCATCCGTTCAGCCGCCTGTAGTTCAAACGATGCTTCCTAAATAATGGAAGAGAGTAACCCCTTTCAAATTTCTCCCATTAGTAGTGTTTGGTGCTTTTAGTTGTTACTTGATTATGTTTATCATCTTCATCTTCTCTACATTCACTTGAAGTCCTATCTTCGCTGCCTGCAACCTTTTTGACCAGTTTGTTGGTTTTCACCAGTGGTTTTGTCGAGTTTGTATGACATTAAGCATAAATCTTCTATACGCGAAATCCAGATCTTCTAGAGCCTTCCTATCGGCCCAGCCTAGTAGTGTGGTGAGAGCAGGCTGCTAGCCGATTGGTTGACACTAATCTACGCCGTGAGAAAATATGAACAAGGCTGATTCAACAACCAATCACAGCAAGGTTAACGTGGCAAAATATGATTCGCAGATAGAGAACTCTATTTGTCGAGGAATCCCGAAACAACCAATCAGAAGCCTGCGTTTGTCTACCTAAACAACCAATCAGATGACTGCGCTTGTCTATAATAATGTATGTGAAAGATGTATAAATACGTGTTGATTTTCATAATAAAACGATCTGTTGCTTCGCCTTTGTCTTCTGTTGTTACAGTAGTAGTCTAAGTACTGCTTTGTTTAATTACTTCAGTTACTTTACAAAAGAGAAGAAAATCTTTCCACCAAAATCTCTACACAGATATAGATTACACTAGAACTTAATTCATATGAAATCAGCAAGGAAAAAATGCTCCACTCCATGTAATGTAATGTAAACTGACTACAATGATTATTATGACTCGTGTAATTAATTACCTTCAACTTTTTTACGTGTTTCATCAATTTTACCAAGACCATTTGTTAACTTATTCGCCTTGTCACTCAATTCTTGACGTTTCTGATAGAGAAGACTATTGAAAATATTTTTTCAGATTAAAGAGAGAGAAAAAAAACGAAATGTTTAGTTGATGATGTTAGGAAAGAAAGTCAGTTTCTTCTTCTGACTAAAATTGGTGTTTAACTGTTTCGGCTGTTATAGATACAGCCGATTACGTAATAAATAAATCAACCCTACGTCATTCTTCAACTTCTACTTGGAACAACCAAAGAAACTCTGGTTAGTTAATGAATTATTGGAACAGATTAAAAGTTTTTAGGTTTCAACACCACTGTGAAAGCAACGAATTGGCTCTGTATGGTCTATGAAGAACATGACGCTGTCTTTTGTAGTCCCAGCCTGTAAATTTGATTTCAACGCTTTCATAAAACACGCTATAATTACGACGGAAAACATTTTACCAGAATTGATTAACGCTAATAAGTGTACAGGTGTTTTTTTCAAGGAATATAAAGTACTTACGTAAGCGAAACTAAGATTACTGATATGTATTAGTCATTTATGATGAATCTGTTAGTGGGAATATTTTCCTCTGAACTAGGCAGATGGGAAAGAAATTAAACACGTAGACTTCTGATTTGAAACAGTATATTTCACTATCCCCTAACTAGATTTCTTCAATTTTAATACTGAGATAAGCTGTCATAGGCTATTACAGATTAAGGACTTGTGAATTATTAACACGAGTTTGACCACGGGTTGATATCAGTTAGAGAACCATTGGAAAACCACCTGGGAGTACTGGACAGCTGTTACATCCAAGTTTGGGAATCATCGGTAGTACGCAGCCACAGGGGTTCGAATCCAGGACCTTCCGGCTACAAGACAAGCTCGTATAACATTCAGCCACTGGGACCCGATTCAATGGCCCATAACTCGTAAATATAAATCTAATCCTGACAAACCAACTCTTGAAAAAATTATTAACACATTTATATGCGTATGGATCAACTCAACTCCAGTGTGGCTGAATGATATTAGAAACACTAGGTTAAACTTTAGGCACCCAACAGGCGTGAATGCACCAATGACACTGGAACACTTAGTCAATGTAAGTAGTAAAGCCAGGTAAATAACACCACTTTCATGAGAAAAAGTATTAATTGGAGTATAATGATCTTAACCAGGATATCTAGTTAGGTTTAGGCTAGATAGGATGATTAAGCTTAGGTTTAGGCTAGGGAAAGGTTACCCCGATGAGGGAGATATTAGGGTTGATTAAGGGTAGATTAGGTCAGGGTTAGACATAGATTATGGTTTGGTTATGGAAAAGGTGAGTTTAGAGTTGAAATAGGGGCTCAAATTTGTTTTTAGTGGAACTGCCCAATCTTAAGTCATTGGTACGTATGCGCGTGTTGGGTGTCTAAAACTAACAACCAACAGGATTATGTCACTATTGTCATAAACATACATGCAACTACAGGGGTGAATTGCACTAGTGAAGAATTGTCTTGAAAGAATTGTCCAATATAATCTTGTCATAATTTTGCAGATTTACTTTAGCCTTCTTATAACAGTTAATCGTCTTAACAAACTCGGACAACATTATTCAAGAACAGAGTTCACTTGAAAAATCTAATGTATGCTCTCAACACACTAAAAAAATATCTGATCACACTTTTATTTGTCAGTCCAATCTATATGAAGAAAGAACAAAATGAAAAGCCAAATTCAATAAACAAAATAATAAAGGGAGATCTTGGTTTGGAACCCCAGTGGATGAGTACTGGCGAATAGTCCAAAACTAGGATGAAATAACGGTCCAGTACTTCCCAGTTCTCAACGGCGCTCTAAATGATGATCAATCCGTGATCGAACTTAGAGCAAATCAAATCCCTACTGACTAACTCTTCAAAATAATATGCGATAGGTTGGTGATTGACACCAGTCTTAGTAACATTATCAGATAGGCGTTAGCAAAAATTATCAGTCAGAGAATGCATAAATTTTCCACACTATGTCAATACCGGGATGCCTAGTCACCTGTAGGCAACCTACACGTCGCCTGATTGATATATTCTGCCCTGTTCACTTCAGAGCTAATCAGATGATTGATGCCTTTACCATAAGCAGATAGCGCCCCATCATCCGGATAATAAAAACAACTTATTGTCGCTCTTAATAAATATGTGTAAACCTTGGGTACTGTGGTAGTAAGTAATTCCATATTAGTTTGTTTATTAGATGTATCACACAGTGAAACAGTATTGTATACTGGATGACGTTTCGAACACAATTTATTGTTCATAATCATATCAATTGTGGTCACACGACTTTGAGATTTGAGTTTTATAGTTTTCTTTTCCGTCTCCTATTTGTCGTATGGGCAGCAGAATTTTCCATATATCTGGGACAGGTGTTGAATCGTTTCTATTACATGTATTTGGCGTTGATTCGATAAACAAAGCTTCTGTTATCAATCTCTCCCTATACCCTGTGACATTAGATTTTAAAACTGTCATCCTATCCCATCCTATTGTATGGTTGTGTGTAACTGCATGTAGTGCTATAGCTGAACTACTCTCTAGATTTCTTATCTTATTCGGGTCAACCAATCTAGATTTAGCTAGGTTTTTATGTTCGGCTAGTCTGACTGCCCCTGTTCTACTAGTTTGACCTATGTATTTGACCTCACAATCATTGCAGGGTATTAGATAAACTAAATTGTTTTGTTTTAATGGCTCCACAGGATCCTTTAACCGACAAAGCTTGTTTCTAATTGAGTTTGTGGGCTTGAATGCCACTTTTATTCCTGCCTTGTTAAGTATTCTGCGTAAGGCCTCCAAGGTTCCTTCCTTGTATGGAATTATTGTTGATGATTTAGATTCCTTATTGTTGGTGTCATCATTAATATTATTATTATCACTATTATTATTACCATTATTATTATTATTATTATTATTATCATTACTATCACTATTATCATTATTTATTTTATTTTTACATTTACTTACATATTTCATGACTAATTTATCCGGGTAATTATTAAGTTTCAAGGCTTCTTTTATGTGTATCACTTCCTGTCTTAGATTTTCCTTGGTACTACTTAGTTTTTGTGCTCTGTCATTTAAACATTTCACTAATCCTATTTTTACTGACATAGGATGGGATGATCGGAAATCCAAATATCTGTTTAAGTGTGTGGGTTTTCTGTAAACACTAGTGTTTACCTTCCCATCTTCTTTCCCTTTTACGTTGCAATCTAATATCGGAAGCTCCCCTTCCTGACTTTCCAATTCATAAGTGAATTGAATTGCCTCTACCTTCGAGTTGATGTGCTCGAAAAATTTATCTATATCTTGTGTTCTAAGTACAGTGAATGTGTCATCTACATACCTCCACCATACTTTTGGGGTGGGGGTGAACGTTTCAATCGCTATCTTTTCCCATCTATCCATGCATATATCTGCTACAACTGGGGATATTGGTGATCCCATGGCAACTCCCTCAGTTTGTTTGTATATTTTCCCTTGGAATTTAAATACTGTAGAAGTTAGGCAAAGCTGCACTCCCAGCATTATGTCCTCAAGTGGCACTTTTGTCCTAAGTTCGGGTTTTTGGTCAGAAATCAGTTCGTTTCTGAATTATCTAAATATTTAGCCATGGTATTAAATCCCCTAAAAATCCACTCGAAATCTAGACTAACTAATTCTTATGAACTAAAACACAGATTAGATAATTTAAAATTAGATAATGAAGAAAAAATGGTTAGTTTTGACATTGTCAGTTTATGTACACGTATACCAATAAATATGGCTATAGAGGCGGTCAGAAACGAACTGATTTCTGACCAAAAACCCGAACTTAGGACAAAAGTGCCACTTGAGGACATAATGCTGGGAGTGCAGCTTTGCCTAACTTCTACAGTATTTAAATTCCAAGGGAAAATATACAAACAAACTGAGGGAGTTGCCATGGTATCACCAATATCCCCAGTTGTAGCAGATATATGCATGGATAGATGGGAAAAGATTGCGATTGAAACGTTCACCCCCACCCCAAAAGTATGGTGGAGGTATGTAGATGACACATTCACTGTACTTAGAACACAAGATATAGATAAATTTTTCGAGCACATCAACTCGAAGGTAGAGGCAATTCAATTCACTTATGAATTGGAAAGTCAGGAAGGGGAGCTTCCGATATTAGATTGCAACGTAAAAGGGAAAGAAGATGGGAAGGTAAACACTAGTGTTTACAGAAAACCCACACACTTAAACAGATATTTGGATTTCCGATCATCCCATCCTATGTCAGTAAAAATAGGATTAGTGAAATGTTTAAATGACAGAGCACAAAAACTAAGTAGTACCAAGGAAAATCTAAGACAGGAAGTGATACACATAAAAGAAGCCTTGAAACTTAATAATTACCCGGATAAATTAGTCATGAAATATGTAAGTAAATATAAAAATAAAATAAATAATGATAATAGTGATAATAATAATAATAATAATAATAATAATGGTAATAATAATAGTGATAATAATAATATTAATGATGACACCAACAATAAGGAATCTAAATCATCAACAGTAATTCCATACAAGGAAGGAACCTTGGAGGCCTTACGCAGAATACTTAACAAGGCGGGAATAAAAGTGGCATTCAAGCCCACAAACTCAATTAGAAACAAGCTTTGTCGGTTAAAGGATCCTGTGGAGCCATTAAAACAAAACAATTTAGTTTATCTAATACCCTGCAATGATTGTGAGGTCAAATACATAGGTCAAACTAGTAGAACAGGGGCAGTCAGACTAGCCGAACATAAAAACCTAGCTAAATCTAGATTGGTTGACCCAAATAAGATAAGAAATCTAGAAAATAGTTCAGCTATAGCACTGCATGCAGTTACACACAACCATACAATAGGATGGGATAGGATGACAGTTTTAAAATCTAATGTCACAGGGTATAGGGAGAGATTGATAACAGAAGCTTTGTTTATCGAATCAACGCCAAATACATGTAATAGAAACGATTCAACACCTGTCCCAGATATATGGAAAATTC